AGTTTTTGCTCAAGTTGGCCAGGGACATATTTTGTTACTTGTAAGCAAAGAATCCCAACTGATACAGTCCTTTCAATAATATTCTCAACAGGTAATTGTCCATTTTTGCTTCCCTAACTTTGGAAACAGGGAATGCACTACCTTCTGAAACATCTACTTCCATTGTTGGTAAGCATCTGATTCTCCTTCCAGGTGAGAGGCAAGGGAAGGGCTTTGGGTACAGGAACCTGGGCATAGTTTGAGGGGGTGGCTCATAGCCACAGTGCTGGGCAAAGACAGGTAAATTTGCAAGAGGAGAGAAGTTCTAGAACATCAGATCCAGGGGGCAGGGAGAAAGCAGAGTAGGTGCTGAAACGAAGGATTGGCATCAGAGATCTGGCAAGAGGAATGACGGTTTGAGAGCCAGAGCTGGAACAACCAGCAGATGTTCTGCGGCAGAGCCAGAGGGTAAAGCTGGTTTAAAATGACATCTCGGACTCTAGGAAGTTTTTTCTTGCCCTAGATGAGAATCTGATTCTCTGTAATTCCAACCCATCTTCCTCCAGAACCACATGTTATATAATGGTTTCCAAGAACCCTCAGATGTTCTCTTAAGTCACCTTCTCCAACCTAAACATCTTCAGCTTTCAATTAAGTCTGGGACACGATTTTCAAACTGGTGTCTCTCTCTGGACATACGTTAGGCGGGACCATCTAAGGTGGGACCATCCTCTTGTTCTGTGCCAAATATACTTCTTTTTTAAAAGTTCTTTACCTTGACATCTAGACATCATTTTTCTCTGCTATCTCTGAAAGTAAGAACCCCCCCCTTTTTTTTTTTGCAAAATAAATTCATGTTCATTGTGAAAAATTCGTATGATAGAGAAATGTATGAAGTAAAAGATAAAAGTCTCCCTCATTGCCACTTGCATTTCCTAGGAACAAATTCTGTTAACATTTTTCTTTGTGTATCCTTCTAAACCTTTATATATGCACATACTGACTTTATACCAAAAATATATTTCAAAAATAAGAATGGAATCATACTATACATAATATTCTATTAATTTTTCACTTATCAGTATCTAAATACATCGCCTGTAATATTCTCTTGATTTGTTAATTTTAGACATTGTTGACTGACATTCTTTCATATTAGAAGGTATAAATCTCCTTGTTTTTAATAGCAATAGAGAACTTATATCATGGACATTTCACAATTTACTTACTTATCTACCAAAAATTAAGTTTTCTTCAACTTTTCCTAGTATAGATTAATGCTGTAACAATGGCCATGTATGAACATTTCAACAGGATAGATTATCAGCAGTAGAATTGCTAGGTCATGGGTGTATGCATTTAAAATGTCAATGGGACACTCTAAGCCCATGATAAGACATCTAAAAATGCTAGATAAATATTTTTTAAATCCTTCTAAATGAACGAAGGAGCTAACAAGTAGTAAGGGAAATCCTTTGAGGCCTAGGGAGGTAAGGGACACGAGGGTGCAGAACAACTTCAAAGGGAGGTGGAAATGACCACTCTGCTTGCTCCTATTGTTACTCCAAACATCTCTGCTGTTCCAGTGTGCTCTAAGTTTCTTTATGCTAATGTCTTTATCAAGTTACTGAGGTCTCTTTCTATTCCTAATACGGTAGGATGTAAAAAAAAAAAAACCCATCTTAGCTGGTATCAGAATTCACCAGAGGGAGGGGACTGTCCTTACTCAGGAAAACACAGCAAAGAGCCACCTGGTGAGATGTTTAGAGTCAAAGCAGCATGACAGACACATTGCTCTGCATGGGAAATGCCCAGAAGAGGCAAATCCATAGAAACAAGGTAGATCTGAGGTTTCCAGAGGCGACGGGGAGAGAGGACCGGGCAGTGAGGACCGGAGAGGGTCTCCTGATGAGTATGGGTTTCTTTTTTTGGGGTCATAAATATGTTCTGAAATTAGATCATGGTGATGATTACACAACCTCGTGAATACACCAAAAACCAATGAATTGTACATTAAAATGCTGAATTTTATGGTATCTGAATTCTATCTAAAGAAAATCTTGGCTTTAGCACTTACTAGCTATTTGACTTTGGGTGAGATACTTAATTTCTGAGGCTTAGTTTCCTTGTCTATAAAGTGGGGATAATAAATAAAACCTATTTCTCTTAGGGGTGTGTGAGGATTAAAAGAATTAATATATGTGATATGTTTAAAACAATGATACGTAGTGAGCAATCAATAATGTTAGCTATTATATGTTAGATTGAAAAAGCAAAGTGTAAAACAGTGTATACAATATTCCAATTTGTGTTAAAAAAACAAAAAGGTTTATATTCCATCAAACATTTCTAGGCTACATGGGAAAATAGTGTTTGCCTCTGGAGAGGGGGCATAGGGGACACCATGGAAAAGAGATTTACTTTTTATTATATATCGTTTAATGATGTTTGATTTTACCATGGGCAAAGATTACCTTCTCAATTACGGTATTAAAAACAAAGAATGGGCAGGTGATACCAACGCTGGGCTTCTTACAGCAGTGCAGCCACATGCTGGCTCCCCAGCAGGGAGCGCCCAGCAGGCCCCGCGAACAGCTTGCCGAGCCAGCTTGCCTTTGGCCCTTCCCTTCCCGTTGTCTCCGCCAGGCCGTCCGCTCTTACCTGCTTTCCATTCCTGTCACACTCTGCCACCATCGGCTCTAACTGCTGGGCTTCCCCTACCCACCAAGACGGATCAGAGTAGGGCTGAATTGTTCATCTCCTGTCTTCTATCTCTGGAGAGATCCTATCAGCAGTAAGGACCATAAGGCTGCCAGGCTTTATTTTCCCCATTTTATAGAAGAAACTCAGAAAAGTTAAACAACTTCCTCAAGTAACACAGTTGATAAGATGCAGCAATAAGATTTGAACCCATGTCTGTTTGTCTTTTCTACCATGCTCTGCAGCTTCTCAAAAGTTTCACTGCTAAATGCTGAGAGGAAAAAGGCAGTGGTAATAAATAAGAAGAAATGAAGATTCAAGAAATCTTCTGCAATACTTGCTGAACTTGGCCCCAAATCTATGACGTGACTTCCTTGCTAGTTGGTGTCTTAGGGGAGCGCCAAAACCTCCTGCCCTGTTCAGGGTCCAAAGGGCCTCTTCCTACCACAAAAGACTGAAGATGCCATTTATCTTCTTCCTGCAAACTACCATCCACCGAGTTTGCGGGGAAGAGTTGGAGGAGGCAAGGAGAAGAGGAGAGAACACACATTAATCCAGTGCTTCTCATGTTCTGGGGACTGTGCTGGTGGCAAAGAGCTCAGGCTTAGAGTCAGACAGATCTGCTGTGAGTCTTGGTTTTATCTGTTATTTACTTTGTGAATGTGGACAAATTAATTACTGCTCTGAGCATCACTTTCCTTACGATAACTGAAGAGTAACAGGAGTAATTGTCTCAGAGGACTGTGACAATAAAATAAAATGTACTTCATGCACAAGCTTAGTGTAGTGCCTGACAGGTAGGTTAATTATCATCACTACCTCAGGGAAACCTCATAAGGACACCATGACCTAGGAATTACATCCCTATTTTATAGAGTAGGAAACAGATTCAGTGCCCTCTTTCCATCATACCAAGGCTCCTGAGCTTCAAGCAAGTAATTTAAACCCCTACAAAAATCCAGACAAAATGCTCACTCAACTTTTGCCTACCCCAGCCAGGACTTACCCTTAGCAGAGCTCCTGACTGTGTCAGCTGAGTCTACCATCAGAAATGCACCCATTCTATATCAAACTAAAAAGTTTCTGTACGGCAAAGGACACCATCAACAGAACAAAAATGCATCCTACAGTATGGGAGAATATATTTGTAAATGACATATTTGACAAGGGGTTAACATCTAAAATATATAAAGAACTTACACACCTCAACACACAAAAAGCAAATAACCTGATCAAAAAATGGGCAGAGGATATGAAGAGACAGTTCTCCAAAGAAGAAATTCAGATGGCCAACAGGCGCATGAAAAGATGCTCCACATCACTAACCATCAGGGAAATGCAGATTAAAACCACAATGAGATATCACCTCACACCAGTAAGGATGGCCAGCATCGAAAAGACTAGGAACAACAAATGCTGGCGGGGATGGATGAGGAGAAAGCGGAACCCTCCTACACTGCTGGTGGGAATGTAAACTAGTTCAACCATTGTGGAAAGCAAAATGGAGGTTCCTCAAAAAACTAAAAATAGAAATACCCTTTGACCCAGGAATCCCACTCCTTGGAATTTACCCAAAGAATACAACTATTCAGATTCGAAAAGACATATGCACCCCTATGTTTATCGCAGCACTTTTTACAATAGCCAAGATATGGAAGCAACCTAAGTGTCCATCAGTAGATGAATGGATAAAGAAGATGTGGTACATATACACAATAGAATACTATTCAGCCATAAGAAAGAAACAAATCCTACCATTTGCAGCAGCATGGATAGAGCTGGAGGACATTATGCTCAGTGAAAAAACCCAAGTGGAGAAAGACAAGTGCCAAATGATTTCCCTCATTTGTGGAGTACAACAATAAAGCAAAACTGAAGGAACAAAATAGCAGCAGACTCAGAGACTCCAAGAAGGAACTAGTGGTTACCAAAGGGGAGGGGTGTGGGAGTGTGGGTGAGGAGGGAGAGAGAAGGGGATTGAGGGGTATTATGTTTAGTACACATGTATGGGGGATCATGGGGAAAACAGTGTAGCACAGAGAAGGCAAACAGTGAATATGTGGCATCTTACTACAGTGATGGACAGTGACTTCATTGGGGTATGGGTGGGGACTTGATAATATGGGTAAATGTAGTAACCACATTGTTTTTTCATGTGAAATCTTCATAAGAGTGTATATCAATAATACCTTAATAAAAATAAAAATAAAAATAAAAAATAAATGCACCTGTTCTTACCCTGACATCTTCAGTTTTTCTGGTCCTATCTCCCAGTCCCTTTTAAATAATCTTTGCTATTAAATTTCCAATCATATGCTCACCTGCTTAGAAAGCATAATATCATGTTCTCTGGCTTCTGATAGCCTCTTGACCTGTTGTGTAGCTTTCCTCAAGACCAGAGTCTGATAATGGTGTCCTGTCAATGCAATATTAGCAAAAAGAAATGATCTTTGGAGTTTGTCAGATGTGATGAGAAAGAGTATAGGTAAATCTCAGCTTCCTATTAGTGTGAAAATGCCTGGGAATATTCAGATCATTGGGAAATACTAGAGGAAGCAGCTCGGGTAAATTCATACAACTTCACTTACGTTTTAGCCAGATATACACCTCTTGCCACTCATTTGTCCATTTACTTATCCATCTATCTACCTAACCAATAAACATTTACTGAGCATCTACTATGTGCTGGGCCCATGGTAGGTGCTAGAAGATTATCTTCAAAGAACTCACAGCTTAGTGAGAAAAAAAGACATGCAAACAATAAATGTAACACTAACTCAAATGTCATGATTGAATTCTCTACTGGCTCTACTATGTTCACATAATTAGGAAGAAGAGGCCTTTAAAAATGCTAAGCAGAATTAGGAAGGGTACTGTGATTAAATGAGAATAAAAGATCCAATTCTTGCACAAAAAGTTTGATGAATTCTCAAGGAAAAAGACAATCAGCATTGCTAACCTTGAAATGACTCCAATGTTGAAATGTTAAGAGTCATCAGAAAAGACTGTATATCAGCTATTATAACAATGCTGTAAGAAGTAAGGGTGAATACTTTTGAAACAAATGAAAAAATAGGAAGTCTCAGGAGAAAAAAGGAGCTATGACAGGACCAAATAGAAATTTTACAACTGTAAAATACAACAGAAACAAAAAATTCACTAGATGGGATCAATAGGAGAATTGCAGTGACAGAGGAAAGAGACAGTGAACTTTGAGGACAGATCAACAGAAATTATCCAATTTGTGTGGTGTTTTCTGACATTACATATGTGGCTTTTCCATATCAGTTCTCCTAATCACTGAAACGAACTGGGTGTCCAACAATTTAATTCAATTCAATTCCATATCTATCTGGATTAGTGTCAAATTCCACAAATTTAAGGACTCAGTCTGACAAGACTGTCCCCACTTTAGGCACTAGTCTCAAATGGGGTGCCCAGGCTACCCACACTTGTTTCTGGCTGATTACAAATTTGGGGGTTTCTACAACCCAATAGATAATTCACTAGGATTACCCACAGAACTCAGGAAAGTGCTATACTTTTTATTACAGACTTATTATGAAAGATACCACTCAGGAACAACCAAATGGAAGAAACAGATAGAGTAAGGATACAAAGTGGATGGGGCATGGAGCTTCCATGCCCTCTTCAGGCACAACCTCCCAGCATATATTATGCTCAGCAACCCGGAAGTTCTCCAAATCACACTGCTCGATAGTTTTTACAGTCCAAGATCTGATCCCCTATTACTCCCTAGAGATTGGCTGAAAGTTTCCACCCCCTGATCATGTTTGTTTTTTCTGGTAACCAGACCCATCCTGAAGCAATCTGGGACCCCAAAACCAGTCGCCTTATTAGCATATGTGTGGTTGAAAGATGTTCATTATGAATAACAAAAGACACTCCTATCACTCAGGAAATTCCTAGGGTTTTAGGAGCACTGTGCCAGCAACTGGGGACAAAGACCAAATCTCTATTTTTATTATACCACACAATCCGAACAATGCAGATAAAAAACTGGAAACAATGCATAGAGTCTCAGGGACCTATGGGACAATATGCACAGGTCTAACATTTGTGTTCATCAAAGTCCCAGAAAGAAAGGAGAATGTGGTACAGAAAAAAATTAATTGAAAAAATGTCTGAAAACTTCCCAAATTTGGCAAAAGACATAATCTTACAGAATCAAGAAGCTCTGCAAACCCCAAACAAGTTCAAAGAAACCCCATCCCCATAACACATCATAATCAACCAGCTGAAAGACAAAGAAATTATCTTGACGGCAGCCAGAGAAAAATACATTACACAAATTATGCATTACTCAGGGGGAACAACAATTTAAATGACTGTGGATTTCTCATCAGACAATTGAGGCCCCACAGCTGTGAAACAACACTGTAAAGTGCTAAGAGAAGAGGTTTGTCAACCTAGAATTCTAAATCCAGAAAAAATATTCTGTCAGAGAAAAGCTGAAATAAAGACATCCTCAGATGAAATTGCCAGCAGGCCTATTTTAAATGAAATATTAAAGGACATTTTTTTTTTTGGTAGAAGGAAAATGATACTGGAGGGAAACTTGAAACTTCAGGAATGAAGGAAAAGTAATAGAAATTGCAACTATCTGGTTATATATATATATAGTAATATATAGTAAATATATAATAAATCTAGTTATGCATAGTAAACATAATTGACTATTTTCCTCCTTTTACAGTCTTTAAAATACGTATGGTGATCACTTTGGAACACAGTTTGGCAGTTCCTCAAAATGTTTAACATGTGACCCAGGAATTCCACTCCTAGGTACGCATATGCCCAAGAGAAATGAAAACATATATACACATAAAAATTGCACATGAATGTTCACAGCAACATTATTTGTAATAGCTATGAAGTTGAAACATCTCAAACTGAATAAAAATAAAAAGACTGTACCTAAAACACTTGTCTTGAGGAAAATCTATAGTATTAAATGTTCATATTAGAAAAAGAAGGTCTCACTTTCATTCATTTCAAAATATTTTTTAGTTCTCCTTGGTACTTCCGTCTTTGACTCATGGATCTTCATGAATATATGAATATGTGTATTCATTCGAATATATGTATATTTGGGAACTTGCAAAGTCTCCCACAAATATTTACTTCTATTTGGAACCCTGGCTATCACTCTCAAAGAGTGATCCCCATGTTTTGCTTTGTTTTGTTTTGTTAGTAACAGCTTTATTATTTACATAGTAGCTTCTCTGAGCCTCCATTTCAAAGCATAGTTTAATTTTTTGGAATAATTATTGAAGGCAAATTCTGGTGCTTAGACCCCCACCTCTTAAGATCCAATCACCACTGATCAGATGGTCGCCAACCCCTTAAGATCCAATCACCCCTTAAGAACACACCCTACCCCTGCTCCTTAAAACGTGCTTCCTCACCCACGAGCTGCTGCTCCCTCTCTCTGGGGGCAGCCGTTTTCTCTTTCAGGTAATGAAATCTCCAGCGTGGGCCCTTGTCTCCTGAGTCGTTCTGGGGTAAGGAGGGTCACGGCGAGATACCCTTTCAATGATGACATGTGTGAAGTCATCTAAAATGATACTTATCGAACACAGTTTCCTGTTGTGTTTTCTTAGGTTCTGTACTTGTCTATTTGGCGACACTGTTGGCCAAAGGTGTTCACATCTCTGTGACTCAGAGCCCCTGCTCTAAAGCACTTCCTTTATCTAACTTACACACCAAGCTGATATTTCGCCTGGCCTACACTAACTGGGGGCCAGGGGCTAACCAGGAACAGCCCCTTTACGCCAAAGCCCACCAGAATTACTCAAACCAGCCATCTTAACCAGTTCACCTTGTCATGCGTACCGTTTCCCAAGGAAATACCAGTAAAGGCTGTGGCCTGTCCCTTTCCCTTGCTCCTCCTGCCTCCTGGCTGACGCTGCTGCTTCCTGCCACGGCCCTGCGTGGTGAGCCACACCTCATGTTCCAGCAGAACCGTGAGCAACGAACTTTTCTTTCACTGACATTGACCCCTCCACGCAGTCACTCAGCCACCTTTATATATTAACACCTAGGCATGAATCAACTCCTACCTCAAATGCTGGTCTCTCATGGGGGAGAAAAGCAGTGATCATGTCTGAGATTAATTTTCTTCCATTGTCAACAACTGCTCTTCCCCATAGATATTGGCACTGTGCTAAACTCATCATCACAAAAGGAGTTTAACCAGTGCTGTTGGGCTGAAAAGACAATTGCTTCCTCTCATAAGATATTACTTGGTGCCCAGGCCCAGGCTAGAACCACAAATGTAAACCAGGGTGGCAAATTATGTTCAAATAAACCCAAGACACTAGATTTTAGAGATAATAAATAAATCAAAATCCTACATTTCCCTTTTAGGAAGTTAACATACCTTTTGTGGTATTCTGTTTTTGTGAGTTATCCAGTGAATTCTTGCCATAAGAGATTCTCTCATTGGATGAATTTACATTAAAAGGCTCCTGGAGAGGAAAAAAAAAACAGAACAAATTTAGTAAAACTAGTAGTGAGAAGAACACAAAAATTGTACATGCAGTTTTCTAGATATTTTTCACTGTTCTCAGCAGAGGAACATGCAGACTTCCCAGGCCCAGGGTGAGCACTCGGCCTTCCATCCCAGGAGCACGGTGGGGAGAAGCTGCTGGCAGAAAACACATGGGCTGGGGCCTGAGGCAGCCTGGGTTCCAGTCCCAGCCCTGTCACTCACCAGCTGGTAATCTTGGGCGAGTCACTGAACTCTCGACTGCCTTGGTTTCCGCATTGGGTTTTATGAGGTCTAAGTCCGGCAATGCACGCAGAGTGAACAAGTGGTCACTCACGGCAAGTGCTCTGTGGACACTGCTGCCACTGTTTACTCAATCCTCACCACCCCTCCTTCAGTAAACATTTCATTGAGCAACTACTAATGTGTCCGGTACTGAACGACTCTGAAACCTAGTCCCTGCCCAGGGAGGAAATAGTGAATAGATAATTACACTAAGGTGTAGAAAGTATCACACATTTATTAGAGAGGTAATATAAGTTAGGATTAGGTTTGTATGTGAGTGACAGAGACTCAAAATAACAATGGCTCAAACTAGGTAGAAATTTTCCTCTAACACACTGAAGGTAGGCAGGGATTTTATGGTATTTCTGCCGTAGCAAGTCCTTAGGGATTCCAACTTCTTTCGGCTCATGATACCACCTTTTCTAAGATAGGAGCTTTGTGTTTAGGGTCCAAGATGGCAGTTAGAGCTCCAGTCATCACATTCACATTCCAGGAAGCAGAATGGAGAAAAGGACAAAGAGACAAGGGATTCATATGAACTGTTTTTTAAAGGAAGGTTTCCAGAAATTGCCATGTGGCGTATCTGCGTGCATCTCATTAACTGGACCCTAGTCACATGGCTGTACATAGCTGAAGGGGAGGCAAAGAAATGTCATCTTTATTCTGGCCATGTATGTGCCCAGCCAAAAGCCAGAGGTTCTCTTTCTAGAGGAAGGAAACGACAGATCTTGGGGAATAACTAATAGTCTGCTGCAACTAGTACGAGCAGAGTATCACAGGAAGCTGGGGTGGGGAATGTTTGATTCTGTCTGGGGGAGAGCTGGAGGGCTTCCAAGGAGAGAAGACACTCTCGTTCTGTCTTTAAGGATGAGTAGGAGTTTGGCAGTGTTAACAGATGGCCCACCAGGTGGCAGACAAGCAGTCCACCAGCCTCAACAAACTCCTTTGCTTTATGTAAATATACTTGAATGGGAAGGAGAAAGCGGAAAGGACTTCCCATATACCATGCAGCTGGTTGTCCAACAGCTACTGGTTTTTAGAGTGTTGAAGTGGTTACTAGGATCTGTTGGAGAGACAACATTCCCAGGGCTCAGTGAAGCATCCACTCATTGATAACAGGCCTCAGAGAGATCCGCCGCAGAGCAGACAGCAAACACAAGGAGACCGCTTGGGTTTGAGTTATTAGACCCTCCCACTTACTGGAGAGACAGCATAGTGATGCAGAAAGAACTCAGACTGACAATGTGCTGAGGTCAGCTGTGTGGACTGAGGCAAGTTATTCATCTCTTTGAGTCTATTTCTTCTTTTGTCAAATAAAGATAATAATTACCTACCCTGCAGGGATACTGTAAGGACTAGAGGGGATATATGCAAAGACAATCTGCCCATAGCCGACTCCCCAAAGTACTTTTTCACCCATTCTCTCATGTTGAGATCAGCAAGCACCACTGGGTGTGTGAAGCAAAGTGACCACCACTGGGATCGGGGTGAACTAAGACTGCTCTGGGACCACCCCCCACCGTGGCCCAGAGGGGATGGCACCGTTCTACCACATACGGTCACCTGGCTGCACTGATTCTGCCTGCTGAGGGCTTAGCTGTGATGGGACAGACCAGCAGGGGAGCCTGACTGTGAGCCAATATGAGATTCAATGGGGATGTCCGGAAATGTCTGGGAGGGGAGAGAGCTTTGCAGCCGATATTAGCAGGTATGGGCATGAGCTGGAGGAATTTGGGTCGTTACTGTTAATGATGCTTACTGTACCCATGCTCTGGAACTTGGGAAAATTCTTGTTGAAATGAGTAGACATTCTGATAGGCCATGACTAGACAAAAATCTTTAGGACATCACCTATCCCTAGACCGAATCTATAAGAATTAATACCAATTGTGATACCCATTTTGCAGATAAGAACACAGAGTCTCAGATTTGCTCAAAGCTATATAACGAGTAGCATCACCTAGATGGAAATTTAGATCTTCTGGAAGCAAGCCTAGTGTGTTTTTCTGCTTTTGCTTATGGCTCCATGGTGGCCATGCACTACTAGTTTCCATATTTTGTCACAGATATATAAAACAGGTAGAAATTGTTCTGTAACCCAATGTAAAGTATCGTTCTTTCTTTAACGCAATCTCTGAAGTCTCGTCTTGTATATATAACTACCTATGTGACATCTACATTGTACTTCTCACAGCCATCTTAAGGTTAAAAAGTGAACACTTGTTAGCTTTCCCTTACCCCAAACTCAACATGTTCTATCTCAGTAAGTGGCACCATTCCGCTGCTTAAGCCACACATCTGGGAAGCATTCTTGAATCCTTCCTTTCTTTTTCCACCTCTCCTCCCCACTCCCAAAGCCAACCCATTAGCAACTGCTGAAAGATCTATCTCCAAAACACATTTCAGGTCTGTCTACTTCTTGCTATCTATCAATGTATCCTTTTTAGACAATTACAAAAACCTCCTAACTGTCCCACTCCATGATATTCTCCATATTCAGAAGACAGTGTGATCATTTAAAAATATTAATCAGATCATGTCATCCCCTGATTTTAATGGATTCCTTGAGCACTTGAATTATGTCCATGCTCCTTACTATAGCCCTTGCAAGTCTACAGGATCCAGCTACTTCCCCAGCCCTGACTCTTGCCCCCTTTTCCGCACATGCACTAGGCTATAGTATCACTGGCCTTCTCTCTGTTCCCTGACTATCTCAACCTCTTTTTTTATTTTTGTCTCAGGGCCTTTGCACATGCTGTGCCCTTTTCTTGAAGGTCCTTCCGCTCAATCTTCTAATGGCTGACTCAGTCCCATCCTTTGGTTCTCAGCTCAAATGGCACTTTCTGGGGGTGTTGTCACATGTGTGCCTTCCCTTCTCCATGTACATAAGACCCATGTCCCAAGGTGAAAGACTTAAGCTGCTCTGTTGGCTTCTTTTGTGGCTGGGGTGCACATTTCCTAGGCTCTACTTCGGCTGTAACGCACCTGCCTGAGACCTCAAGATGCTAAGGTGCAGCATGAGTATGCAGGTGGCATGCAGACTCAAGTTTTTGGAGAGACCGTTGACAGGAGCTGGTTTTTCAAGGGAAGCAGACCACAACTTTGAGTATCCAGTCCCCAATAACACTGGTCAGAGCACAGCCACATACCTGCATGATGGTACATCCTCCTTGGGGGCATGGCCTCTGAAACTAACACACTAACCCTCCTGGGTAGCTGTGTGCCACTAACATCCTTTAATATATTTCCTTGTGCTTAAATTAGCTGGCATAAGTTTCCGTTGTTTGCAAATAAGTACTCTAATGATGATTCCTCATAAGGGCCTTCTTTGACTAACCTCTCAAATATTTATTAAATGAATGAGTGACCCTGTCTCTAATAGGTAGGAACCCTTATTTATAGCTGAGCCTCAGCACAGAAGCCAGATATACAGTGTGATGCATTTTTTATCCCCAACACCAGGCAAGAGAAAGGCCAGACCACAAGGCCAGACTTCAAGTAACTGAACTGTGGACTCTCAGACAGATTGTTGCCTTTGAAAAGCATATTGTGAACACAGCCAACTACTTCCTTGAACAGATGGGGAAGTGTGTCTGCTACAAACAAGACAGAGGCTCTGTCCTCACCATGGAATTCAACTACTTTCTCCATCCTGGTTTGCCCAGTAAAACTTCAGCTGCTTTCAAGGTTGGAAAGCTTTTTTGATTATTTCTATTTCTAGGGCAGAAAATAGAATCTTTTAGCTGAGTTTCTGAAATAACTCTCAGAAGATTTTATTTATTTCAGTAAAAAGAAAATACATGTGTTTTACACAGTGCAACAGGCAGGGCAAAAACATTAAATGATATTTTGATCTTGGTCTCTGAGTGACAGCTGTCCCTCTGCAGTGCCTGCTTTGGCTATGCTTTTGGGGGTGGACATTCACAGAGCATCACTTATGCTAAGCACAGGGCCAAGGGTTTACAGAGATGACCTCATTCGTGCAGTTAAGAGATGTTTGCTGAGTGTCTTCCTTGCGCTAGGCCTTCCAGGAGCCAGAGATTTAACAATGGTAAAGGAAGAGGGGTCCTGTTCTCACAGGGTTTACATTCTAATTGCAGGAGACAGACACCAAACAATAGCTAAATCCCACAGGAGAAAGAGCAGATCGTGGTGAGCACTACAAAGGGAATTAAGACAGCCAATGTGATGCTACAGAGTAGCTGGGGAATCAGGAACGGCCCCAGGCAATGACAGTGAAACTGGGATCTGAAAGACAAGGAGCCAGCCATTCCCTCGGGAGTCTGAGGAAAGCATGGTCCAGACAAAGGTGACAATTACTGCAAAGGCCCAACTGGGCACAGGCCTGCAGTGTCTAAGAGGGAGAAGAAAGTCCAGCAGGCTGATGTCTGGTGGAATGTAGGAAATGGATGCGCGAAGGCTGGAAAGAGAGGTGGTGGCTAGAATCTGCAGGGCAATTCAAGTCAGGCTAAGGAGTCTGGACTTTTCTTGTAGTGCACTGGAGAAGCTGTTGGAGATTTTAGGGGAAAGCCTCATCTGGTGTATGTCTATAAAAGACCACTCTGGTCACTGCATGGAGGCCGGGCTGGGCCATCTCTAAGAAAACAAGCCTTAGAGATGTTAAGTAACTTGTCTAAGGCTGCAGAGTCTGAATCTGAACTCATGAGGCCAGGCTCCTAACCAGAGACCTTCAACCCCTTTGTGACATGGAAGTTTTCCAAGGAATAGCAGGGCTGCCAGTTCCAAGGACATCAATGTCCAGATCCTCAAGTTCCCTTACAGACTGTTTTCTAAAAATTATCATCCTCAGAATGTGCAGCTGTTGACATTTTAACATAATATTTAATATTAAAAAGTTTACAAAAGAAAGGCACACCCTTCACCCATCCCAAACATTCCTTTGCAGAATGTTGCAGGGTGGACACCCCCAACTCTGCACCAAACAAACAGGGGAGGCTGTTCTAACAATGAATCAAGCCTCATATGCTACTTGTTAAGAATGAAGCATGGCATTAGAAATGGAGATGTTGGTGTAGAGCTTGAAGATTAGTTGGGGAGCCAGCCATATTACAGTAATGGCTGAAGAATTAACTCAAATGCCCAAAAAGAGAGGGATATGAGCACAGTTAACAAGACTCCAGACCAAGGTCAAGACAGCTGACCCTGAGGACAAGGGACTCAGCTAAGATGGAAGTATGAGTATGTGTCCCCTAAAGCAGGGGGAGCAAATTTCTTCTGCAAAGATCCGGAAACAGTGTGGACTTTGCAGGCCATAAAGTCTCCATTGCAACTACTCAACTCTGCCACTGCAGCGCAAAGACAGTCAAAGACAATGGTCAACCAGTGACCAAGCCTGTATGTCAGTCAGTAAAGTGTTACTTAGAAAAACAGGCAGTAAAAGGCCTCAATTGTAGTTTGCTTGAGCTTTGATTTTTTTCCGGCTCTCCAGAAAGAACAGGCCTTTATTGGTAAGTTTGGCTTGTTTCATGCTACCGATGGGAGATGGTGACAAAGATGATGCAGTGGTGGAGGGAGCGTACCGGGGACAAGAGGAATGGCAGGTAGATAGGCTTGGTGTTGGTAGGGGGTGTGGTGTCTAGGAACCGAAAGAATGCCCGTGCAGCAGGAACCCCAGGAACCCAGGAGGGTGGAGATGGGCCTGGCCAGACATGGCAGAGCCAGGCAGGTCAGTCTACTCCGGAGGCAAGGGGAAGGAAGCCTTCTGACGTTTGGAAGTGCTTTTTATTTGAGTTGGGAGGAGAGTGTTTCAGAGTGGGAGGAGTAGGGCAGGGCCAGCAGTTTGAAAAGATTGCAGGGGTCCCTAGGTCCTGAGGGAGAGGGAGCCTCCTGCAGCTGAGGGAGCTCTGGGGGAGGGAGAGGAGAGGTAGTGCTGGGAGGGACCAAGAAGGGGGCGTCAACAGGCAGAGAGCGAACGCACCCAGCTGTCAGCCAGGCCGTGTTAGTGATGAGGATCAATGGGGAGAAAAAGACGTAAAGCACCGGGCGCTGCAGTCCCCCCTTGAAGTGGTTCCTGTCCTCTCCTCCTAGACTGCTGTGGTCACCCTTGGGCACTCCACTCTTCCAGGTGCATCTGGAGGACCACCATGTCCCTCCCCGAGGTGATAGGCAGACAGTGCAGAGATGTGGAGCCGACTGGAAGTCACTGAAGCCTGTGGGGCTGCAGGGGGTCTGGGTCTGGCTGGGCCTCCCCACTCACCTGAGGGCACTGGGCTTTCCTGCTCTGGGCAGACTTCTGGAGGAAGTGTCTCTTAGAAGTCAGGAAAGAGCACTGTCTTCCTAGGGAAGAGAAAAAGTTGCTTTTCAGTTCCTCCTTGTCCTGGGGATTACACTGAAGACCAGGAGCTCTGAGGCAGCCCCTTCCCCAGAGGCAACAGAAACAGCAGGAGGAGCGGCCTCAGACAAAAACAGAGCCCTCTGTCATTCCACATGCTGCGTGACCTTGGGCAAATTACCTAACCTCTCTGATCCTGTTAAAAGGTTTGAATACCAACTACTCTGCAGCGCTGATGGCCCAATTAAAGGAGATCATGTATGCAGACCCAGTACCCAAGGCAAGCCCTCAACCAGCCTGAAAAAAAAAAGTACTATCTTCAAAGGAAAAACAAAAGATTCAGAATCCTGCAAAATTGAAATGAATAAAAGTTGGATTAAACACTTAAAAAATCAACACTCTAGTACACACTAAAAAAGTAATCATCTAAAAAAGTAAACTCATAAGGTGTTAAATTAATATTCACTGAAATATCATAAAATTTGAAGACAATTCACAGGTTAGGCTTTTTTTTCTCTTTGAAATTCCCGGGTGTCCATGACGAGTGCTGTGAAGGTGAACCTATTCAGTGGGGCAGTAAATGCACATGCTTAGAAGGAGCCTGTGAGGGTGCTTGGCCCCAGCTGAGTGGTGGCTATTATAATTTCCATCCAGCAACTGCACCCATCCTCTTCTCCGAGCGCTACCTGGTATGCTCCCCCTGTGCCCTAGACCAGGCTTCTTAAACTGGAGTGTGCTTACAGATCACTGGGCCATCTTGGTAAACTGTGCTGCTGGTCTGGTGAGGTGCTGCAGATGGTGGCTGGGTAGGCAGCAGGCTAGCAGCTTGGCCAGGGCCCCTCCATGCCAGGAGGCCCACCGAGGTGTGAGAGAGCAATGTCTCTTAGGAGATGCCTCCTTCCTTCCTAGGGCCCTTACCTCCCCTAAGGGCATCAGACTGAGGGAGGGAAAGGGTTTAACTGGCCAAAGAGACCAGTCTGACAGCAGGAGGTTAGTTAGCCTGTCTAGGGAGAATCCTGGCTCCCCAGCACTGCGGGGAAGCCTTGGGCACATGAACCTCTCCGGCACCTCAGTTCCTGCTGTACGATGGGATCTCTCAGGAGGACAGGGTGGGGATAAAACAAAACGTATTTCAAACAGTGGCTGGTACAGGGAACAAATCTGTATACATTAGTGTTATTTTTACTATTAATCAAATTATAGCTATGTGCTCAGACTCATATTCTTTGATAATATGTAGTTTTCAGCATATTTAAGAAAAAAGTAATTTCTTTTCTTCTATCTCCCACCCCAGAGGGTCCTGAAAGTTGTCAAGGGATTTGAATAGCCAAATGTTGTCTGCTCTCTGGGTCCTTTTGACCATTAAAGACAAGGCTTTGCTACATTCCTGAGGTGCCCCATAAAGAGGGGCAGACACCCCCCCTAGCTGGAGAAAATACCCAGCTAATCCAAGAGTTTGTCTCCCTACCTTCGCAGTCCTGAGTTTAAATCCTTACTCAGACACCCATGATTACCCATTATAACCCTGTCACTGCTGACATGAGGACTGCCTCTCTGTTCCCTTCAGTGCCTCTGGGTCTCCTCACATGCTGTTCCCCCTGCCTGGAGCAGTAGTTCTCCCTTTCACCTGCCTAAAATACACATCCTTCAAATCTCAGCCCCTCTGCCGCTTGCGGACCCTCCCAGGGCTGGACTGCATGCCCCTCCCCATGTCGCCTGTAATCCCCATCACAGTGCCTGACCCACCATAATATCACTGTGCTGTTAAACTGCCCGCTAGACTGCATGGCAGGGGCCATGCAGGCCTGGCACACAATGCTCTGTCCTGCCTGTGGAGGGCAATAAGAAAGTTGGCCTCCGGCAACATGCTTCTCTGAATTCTAGGTTCCTTTTCTTTGAAGAGGATTTAGTGTGGACTTCAGCTGGTTGTTGTGAGGATTAAATAAAAAGGATACAGAGCCCAGCACAGTACTTGGCACTATTAGACTCCCAATAACTAGTATCTGCTATTACAATGCAAAATTCTGCTCCCACATCTCAACAATTATATTGTGCTGACTCTACCTGCGGTTCCTAAGCATCAGCATTTCAGTCATTGTGATGGCTAGGCTGGGGGTACCTGAGAGAGAACCTGGCCTCGCCGAGGGGCCTTGAGTACTAAGGCCCTTCCCTCCTCCAGCTAGATGGGGGCCAGGTGCGGCAGGCGAAGAGAGCAGGAGGCCATAAGGGTACCTCACCCTTTGTCTGTCTTCTTCCCTGAAACATTAATTCTTCTCTCTGGAATCTCTCTGGATCCAGTGCTGAATAGTCCCAACTGTTATAGCTCTGCAGGCAAGGATATATACCTAAGAGCGAGTGAACAGTGATGATGAGAACTTCCAGAAAAGAGGAGGCAGAGGCCTCTGAGACGCCCCCTGCTGGTCCTGGGGAAGCTGGCCTCCCAGCATTAGCCCCACCCACACTGGTCTTGTGAGTCATTCCCTCTCCAGAAGGCTTTGGTTTCTTCATCTGGAAAATGGAGACGGTGAGGCCCATTCTGCCCTTTTGACAGCACGGGTTTGAGGCTCTGTCCGCACCACAGCCATGTGAACCCGTGATGTGCTACACAGAGGTGAAGGCATTGTGGTTACTTGTTTTCCTGCCTAGGTCCTCTGCTCTTGCTGGACTGTGAGCTCCCTGAGGGCTGAGTCTTATTCATCTTTGCACCTCCAGGGCTTAGTATTAGACTTAGTACATGATAAATAGGCTCTTAGTAAATGTTGGTTCAACATTTTATCACACTGAGCTAAGTGCTGGAAATGGGTTCTCCCCAATATATGAAGGTGATACTGATGGGACTAATGCTTTTCTTTTAAGGAAACTGTTTTACAGTCTTGACTTCTTGGAATCTGAACCCTAAGACATTAGAGGGACCTCACTTTCTCCCTCAGTTCTTTGGTTTCAGAAAGAAAAGACCTAGGATTACTTGAGAAATTTTCAGCCTCTAAGGAAAACTGCTGTCTCCATTGCATGAACTAAGTGGATGGGAAGTTTATTACTACAGAAAGAGGCACAGCCTTGGACAAAAAGGGGAACAGAAGGAGGAAAACAAAAGAGTCAGAGACTGGGAGGCAGGACTGCACTATGGTCAGAGACCTAGCTTTACAGTTGGGCAGCCTGGACTTGAATGCCTGGTCCCCATTTATTTGCTGTTGGGCTTCTTTGATGCTGCGTATGTTAAGAGGACTAAATGGGGGTGCAGAAGAGTTAACATAGCAAGCCCGAAATGCTATCCTTAGAAAGTACTGCTTATAAAGTTGGCCCTTGGCTGGCATCTGGAACTTGGCTGGTAAGTGTTTCCTTACAATGATTCACAACTTTCCTTAATCACCTAGAAGAAATAGATAAAGTCCTAGAAATACGCAAACTGCTGAGACTGAACCATGAAGAAAAACAAAATTGGAATAGACTAATGATGAGTTAGGTGATTGGATCAGTGATCAAAAACATCAGACTGGGACTGTGAGTGCTGCGAGTAGATGGGGGCTACAGTTGGGCCTCTTGGGGTCACATCGGGGGTGGAAGGGTGGGATTATCTAACCAGAGTACTACTTTTGGGTTCGAGAGTGCTGGGTCCATGGACCACAGAGCACAGTTAACAACCAGGGCTGGTATTTGGCTGGTAAACAATGATACACAACTCTCCTTAACTACCTAGAAGAAACAGATGCTGAAACCTGCTCCCTGCAGATACAGCTGGGCCCCAAAAGGAGACTAGGAAGGTCTCAGAACTGTTTTTGAGGAAGCAGGAAGCAGTATTCCTTGGGGCTCTGACCACACATTTTACATTCTTTAATCTCAAGGAGAGAAGAGGACAACTGCCTCAGTGAAGGATAACATACCCAGGCTCAGGGGGAAAAGTGTTTGTGGAATTGCTTTCCCCAGGAGAAAGCAGCTACCTCTCACCTGAAATCCACAGGCTCATCGTGTTACAGATGACAGACTTAAATTCGTGTGTGTTGAACCAGGATTGTGGAAAGCAGCAGCAGAAGCTGGTGTACAAGGCTTTACTCAGAAGTGACGGCAGTCTCTGGGGAGGCAAGCAGAGCTCAGGCAATATTCTAGACATTTCCATATCCAGAAAAGAGCCCCTGACTTCAGAAAGGATGTGTGATAAAACTCTACTGGCTACCATGCTGCCTGCCTGTGTATGAGGGAAGCAATTTCTGTCTGCAGCTGCCCCATATTTCGGTGGACTCCTTACCTTACCCGGGGCCACTCCTCAAACATCACACTATGCTTGGTCAGCAACCTCCTCCCTCCCCCAGCTCCTCTGCACATAGTTTGGTTCAGCCTCTTCTGCAACCTGGCCGAAGAGTAGCCCAGAAGACGACAAGGCACATTTGCCCTACCCAACTTGCTATCTCCCAGAGAAAAGAGCAAGTACTACTTACTGATTTTTCTTCCAAGCACAGGGGGTACTATAGTTGCTTCTTAACTATGGTTGAACTCAAATTATACATTTATATCTGGCTTTATTCATGTAATATTATGACATAAGCACTTCCCCAGGTTGTTATAAACTCTGGGACTTTTTTCAACAGTGACTTCATAATATTGTGCCGAGAGGGCATATCAAGATTTGCTAAAACATCCCCAGTGGGTGGATATTGTCTTGTTTCTAAGTCTTACTATTACAAATTATGCAGAACATTTATTTTTATTAGGCCATCTCTGTGTCTGGCCCATAGTCAAAAATTTGTTTTGACTATGAATATGTTTTGACTGCATGAGTGAAAGCAGCTTTTCCTGTATATTAGATTATGGCCTCCAGAAGATGGAATCGTAATAATAGTTCCAGCAGCTATGGTATGTTGAGGGCTTATCATGTGCTGGATAATATGTCAGATACCTCACAAATACCATCTCATTTAATCCTTAGGACAGCTCAGCAGGAGAGGCATTATTATCCCCACTTTATGGATAATGAAACGGAGGCACAGAAAGCCTAAGTGACTTATTAGCTAGGATAAGTGCCTTTTTGCGTAATTGTATCACATTGTCAGTGTGCCATTTCCCTGTATCCTTCACAGCACTGGGAATTATAATTTTGAACCTATGCAATTTAGCATGCACAAAGGGGTATCAAATGACTGTTTTAATTTATATTTTTGATTATTGTTAAAGGTAACCTTTTTTTCCCATTTGTATTTCTATCTGATCCTGCTGAAGTTCTAGTTTATGAACTTTGTCCATTGGTCTAAGAATTTGTAAGAGTTCTTTATGTTGTGTGACATACATGCTACCAGTATTTTTGCATAGTTTCTCATTTGCCTTTTAACTTTGTAGTAGTATAAGTAATTTATATAGTTAATCAGTATTTTCCTTTATGGTAATTTCTTTAGGATCATATTTAGAAAGTCTTTCCCCATCCTAAATCATGTAAACATTCACTTATATTGTTTTTAGCAATCCTTTTAGCATATATATACATACACACATATATACAAAGTAGATATGTGTATTCATACTTTTCATTTTAAAATTACATGCTTAAATACTACAGAAATATATAAAATAGAAAAGAAAGTCTCTTATAACTTCATTCCCCAGAGATAACCATTCTAAGAGTTTGGTATGTATTTTTTCAGATTTTTTTCTATTCATAGGCGCACACACATATAAAAAACATATATATATTTCATTTATACAGAGTTGTATAAATTGTGCTTTACACTTAAATATCTATATACACATCTTTCCCAGTGTATAAAATCTACCTTATATTTTGTAACAGCTGCATTACAAGTCAGTGTTATGGATATATCACAACTTACTAATTACTCCCTTATAGAAAGAACAGTAAGGGCATCCTGTTGGCATCAGGAGTGAGTAGATATTCAATGTGATTTTTTCCCTGAACAGTGGAAGCTCACTTTTAAGAGAGCCTCTTCATAGTGGGACCTGGACTCATGAAACAAGAGATTGGCGTAATGTTGGGATATCCGGTCGAACAGCTTCTTCTGGACCTCCTTGTTTGGCTATCAGGAATAAAAACGGAGAAGGGTCACTAGGGTCCCTTGTTGAAACAGTGGAGGGCTGCGATTCTTAAATAAGTATTTCTCTCATGTTTAGGACTCTTATTCTCAAGATAGTTAACCTGCTATTATTTACATTTTATGGGTTTTATAATGTACACAGAAGCAGAGTGTTGAGGAAAGCACCCCCACCCTGAGCCAGGAGCCCCTGACTCTGCTCGCAGCCCTGCCATTGACCAGCCACGTGACATGGCCCAGTTCTTAGAGCTCAGGGAGCCGTGGGACCTGGTGCATTGGGGCACACCCAGGGAGTGTGGGCGAGGCACGGCGGGTCACGCATGGGTGACAGACGAGGCTCTGGTGGTGGGGCTTCAATCAGAGGGGCTTAGAGCCCGTGTTAAAGAGGTTGGGATTTGTTCCATAGAGGAGTAACTTAAGCAATGGAAAAGACCAATCGGATGTGCATTTACCTGGTACTTTTCATGAAAGATCCACCAGAAGCTATCGAGCCATATGGTTCTTAGATGAGGAGAAGAGAGGAACTTCTCTAATTCTCTATCTGAAGAGAAAGACTTGAAAAGAAACAAAATTCACATTATTATTGCAATTTTTTTTAAATAGCCACAGCCTCACATTTGAGGGGACGGGGCAGACAGCACACTGAGCAGCCTGTGCAGTGACCTGGACAGGAAGGCGTGGGGCCTGAACTTGACGGTGGCCGTGGGAAAGAGGAGGAGGCATAGTAAAGATGGTACTTAAATATGAATAGCCACAGTCAGATTCATAATCATCTCCACTCAAGACCTGCCTTTCCTCCTATGTTCCACAGCTGGTCGTTGTTACTAATCACACCATCTTCTGCCAGTCCTCTTTGGAGTCAACACACTTTGGAGTCCATTAAAAAAAAAAAAAACTACCTTTTAGTGAGTGTGTCTTGCCAATGGATTTCAGCCCCGGGCAAATTCACTATGGATTCAGTGTGACCAAAGAAACGACAGTAGAACGTTCTCGGGGTGAAAGGGTTATACCCAACTTTATTCCCACGGTGGCAGGTCAATCACTAAAATCCCGTTCACTCAGAGCAAGCCTGCATGCAGCAAGCCAGTCTCTGCCTCTGGGCCCCTGTCCTTCACACTGCCACTCCAGCCTCTGTGCTGCTCTCCTGCAGCCTTGCAGCTGTGCCACCGTGTCTGGCAGAGCACTGGGCAGAGCTCTTTATATACAGTCAGTAACATATTGCCCACACCTGTGTAGTGAGCGAGCCAACCAGGGCCAGGTGAGAATCCTGGCCACAGGAACTTTCATTTTATCCACAGAGTGCTTACTGTTTGCCTTACAAGGCATTTTTACACGTTTTCTTTTAACCCCTACAGTAACGATACAAGGCATGTGTTATTATCTCCATTTCACAGATAAGGAAACTGAGGACTAAAGAGTTAGAGTCATTTGACCAAAGTAATACAGCCACCAAGTGGCAGTGCGCCTCCTTCCTTAGCAAGGAACTCTGAGAGCCCTGCTCTTCACTGTCTGTTCCACCATTCCTTGGGCTTCCTTAGAAAGGAAGTGTAGTCAGAGCAGTTAAGCACAGACTTTGGTACCTGACTGCCTGGATTCAAATCCATCTCTTAACACATATAAGCTGTGTGACCTTGAGTAATGTTATTGAACCTGTGTGTGCTCAGTTTTCTCATCTGGAAAATAGAGATGGTGGTGTTAGTCCCTACCCTGAGGATTGCTCCAAGGATTAAATGAGGTGTGATCGTTATACAAAGCGCTTAGTGCCCAGCACTTAGGAAACACTCGTTAAGGGTGTGTCAGTTCTTTATTGTTTACTTATTCATATGCCTTCATCCTTTCTAAAGGGATTTCATTTAAGCCCTTCAACAACAGATATTTATTAAGCACCTACCAGGTACTCAGGATGGAGGAAGAGCCCCTGCCCTTGAGGTGTTCACAGGTAAACAGACATTTATAATACAGTGTGGTAGGTGCCCCGAGAGAAGGACTTGAAGGGGATAGGAGCCCACAGCGGCAGCTGATCTGTGCTTGGGGTATCAGAGAAGGTTTTAAGGGTAAGAATGACTGAAGAAGGGAGGACTGAGAGCTCCTCTGAGAGGGGGAAGGCATGTGCCAAGGCTGTGAAACAGCACCACCCAGTTGGGGAACTTGAAGGGGTTTCTGCAGTGGAAACACTGGGCGTGGGTGCTAGGAGGCCAGGCCGGAGCCAGACTATGAGGTGCCTGTGGGATGGGACCGAGGGTTGCTCTGAAACTGGATGGGGGAAGGGCACAGCCAGCACTGAAGAATTTTCAACAGGGCAGGTACACTGTGAGATTGGTGTTCTGGAAAGATCCTTGGAGGCAGTGTAGAAGATGTATTTGAGGGGATGGGGCAGACAGCACACTGAGCAGCCCGTGCAGTGATCTGGACAGGAAGGCGTGGGGCCTGAACTTGACGGTGGCCGTGAGAAAGAGGAGGAAGGCATAGTAAAGATGGTACTTGACTCTACGTGACTGCTTGGATGTGGGACTGAGGAGAAGGGAGGAGACTGGTTGATGCCCTGATAGAAGGTTGTAGTTTTCAGCGAGATAAGGAACCCAAGAGGAGAAGCAGGTCTGATGAGGCTGAGAAGTCTGGAGGGCATCAGGGCAGGAGGCAGAGAGATATGGGAGTCGGGAGCACAGCAAAGAGTTTGTAGGTAGTGACAGCTCTTCAGTTGTGATTAGCTTGCTGTGGAGAGAAGATGCCCCCCAGGGGTCTGTGCAGAGGGTCAGACAGAGCAGAGGCAGGGGTCCTGAAGAGCATGGATGGTGACGGGGCTCGGTAGGCTGAGGCGTGCTGCCTGAGTGCAGGGAGAAAGCTGCCACAGAAACCAAGGCAGGGAAGGACTTCAGAGCGCAGGGAGTCATCTTCTGGTTCAGTTCTGTGGAGCGGTCACCTCAGATAGCAACAGAAATGCATCTTTGGAACTTGACAGTCCGAGAGGTCGTGCTGGATTGACTGGTGCCGCTTTCAGTGATGGGGGAGGGTGGGAATCCAGGTTGCAGAACAGCAGTGGGAATGTGAAGCCAGCGAGTGCGGGCAGCTCCTCAGAGGAGCTGTGGGTGAGGCTCGGCGCTGGGCTGGGGCCACACTCCTGCCCGTGGCAGCCAGGGCTTTTGTCCCCATGGGGCTCCTGGTCTTGCTTTGGCCTCCAGACTCTCCGAAGCAGAGCGAGGCAGCCGCAGAGCGGGAGGCGGAGGCGGCGGGAGAGGATGTGAGGAGGCAAGGAGAAGTCTGGGGTGGCCCCTGAGCAGGATGGAAGAGGGTCCTTCTAAAGGAGGCACATATTTGCCCTAAGTTCCTAGGAAACAGCAGCAGTTATAAGACTGAAAGCATTCCAGGAGATGTACAGTTTTTCTTAAGGCCTAAGGAAAACATTCCCCAGAGCACCTAAAAAATGGAACATTAAAAAAAAAACATAGTCGTCACTGTCCTGGGCACTACCTACACAGCAAATGGGACACACATGTGGCTGTGCTGGTGTGCCTGGCAAGGGCAAGCAAGGATGTGGGCTGGAAGGTCACACAGCAACAGCAGAACCATGAAACACGACCCATTTGTTCTCAAGGCTTTCCTCCTTTCATAATTATAAAAAAAGGAAGAAAGTGATAATCTTATCACTCAGAGAACCCTGGTAATAACTATGTAGGGCTTCATCCCCAGATTTTCCTGTGTGTGTGCTTATATAACATTGCAGTGTAGTTTTATATACTGATATTTTTCCATTTAACATCATAGCAAAGCATGTTAAAATACACTTTTTATAAGCATTCATTTTAATGGCTAAGTAATCCATGATATATATAACCAAGAAGACTGTACTATTCTATTATTGGTCATTAAATTGAGAATAACAACTACCATTATTTGATAGCTTAAGACATAAAACTAAGTAAGTACTGGGCTCAGTGGTTTTATACACATTATCTTACTTAATTTTACAATAACTCCTCAAGGAGTTATTCTATAGACCCTATTTTATAGAAGAAACTAGAACCCAGAGAGCTACTTAATCACAAAGGTGTACTGCCTTCCAGTTCCTTGGGATTATAAACAACAATATGGTGAGCAGTTTTTCACACTGTCCAAGAGGGGATTTGGTGGCCTGAGTGCCTGCCGCTGATCCACCGCTTCGCTGAGGGAGGCAGGGGGGCAGGCACCTGGCCCAGACACCAGCGCTGGTGAAAGGCAGCTGTCCACTTGCGGACCACAGCCCATGCTGGTGCCTGGCTCAGGAACGCCAGCAGACACCCCTGCCATCCTGGGCAGTGGTTGCCCTGAACACCTCGTCACGCTTAGCAAGTCTGAATGCAGGACACAGAGGAATGAGACAGATGGAGCTGGTGTAGGGACACAGCCAGAGAAAGGGTGGCAGGGAGAAGAGGGAAGGAAGGACAGAAAGGGGACTGGAGGGGATAGGGAGAAAAGGAGGCAGGGTGGGAAAGAAAAAGAGAGAGGGACAGAGAAAGAGAGAAATAGAGAGAGATGGGGGTGCGTGGTTCAATGCAGCTATGAGAAGTACACGTAGAAGAGACTAAGAAGCTGGGTCCCAGGAATGGTGGGGTGACCAGTTAGGAGCTGAGGGGACAATGACCAGAGTTGCTCTGGGGACACCAGAACTAATGTATAACCAGGAAGGGGGATGAAGCTCAGCTGTAGGGCTGCCAAGACCATTTCCTGGGCTTCCACCCATCTCCACACTTCCTTACAATTACCCCCACCTCCTGAGTGACCAGTGTAGCTTCACATATGCACACAGGTTCTTCCAGGCCTTAGAATGCTCCCTTCCTCCTAAGGAACCCAGTATGCTCCGGTACACTGTTCTCCAAGTGGGTAACTCACCCCAAGGTGTACGATGGCGCATGGGAAGAAATATTCTAACTAATGCCTACTTATGAAAGGAAAGAAATTAAGTTTCCTAATATACAACAGAGCAACTGACCACAGAACATGTATATCATTCATAAAGAAATGACATCAGGAGGAAGTGAACTCAAAATTTTTTGCTAATAGGACGCATGATCAGAACAGTCTGGAGACCAGCACTCCGGTAGAAAGAATCTAGGCTTTGGAGGGAACAAGGGCTCGGGTTCTAATCTCAGCTCAGACACTTACAAACTATATGGCCCTGGGAGACTTAATTGCCCCGATGTGATCCTGGGGTAAAACGCAGGGATAGCTGTGTGTGTCTGACACATGGGTCACTGTACAGTTGGGGCACAGCTGGGCCCCCAGCTGGGCGTCACTGAGCTGAGCGCCGCTCTCTTTCCTTACCTTGCCACTGAGGGGCTTTCTCTCAGCCCGGACCACATTGCCCACCAGGTCACAGAAGTCCACCCCGTTTGGAAGCTCATTTGGCCTAAAGTTGTGAAATTGTGGGTGCTGGTACAGCTCTGCCTGCGGATTTTTATCTGGTGTTTTCTGAAGCAAAAAAAGCAGAATATGAAAATGGGGTCCATCACTTTGATAGTTTAAAACATAAGGGTATCTTCCCCCCCTTTTTTTTTAGTTTAATGCCAATTTAATTTTAGTAATTATCTTCCCCTTTTTATGATGAAAACCACATAACAACCTTGTAGGACCTTGAAGAAGAAGAGAGTGCTCACGATCCCAGCCCCCCTCACCAAACACCTACTGACATTATTTTCCTGAAAAGGAAAAATACACATATACATTTGTACATGTGTATATATGTAACTTCAGTCACTTTACACTACATATATACACATACATACTTTTATGTCCTGCTTTGTCCATTTAGCGTTAGATTTTTCACATTGCTACATTGTTTTCAAATTTATCATTAAAATAGTATATCCTATTGTGAAGATGTCTATGACCTAATTAACTACTCACTGATTACTTCCAATCAATGTAACTGTCATTAATAACTTGGAGCATATACTTCTGTGCCTTTTGGGTTATTTATTATGAATTTCTTAAAATAGCAATATTTGATCAAAGGATATGACTATATGGTTCTCAATATATATCATTAAATGGATTTTTTGAATAAAAAATATAATGATTATAAAACATGTAAAAATATGGAAAGTAGAAAGAGGAACCAATTACTATCACCCAAAGGCACCCATGGGAGACATTTTGAGAGACTGAGTTACCCTCTAACTGGGCTACTGCTCTGACAAACGAAGAACTCAGTGATGAATCTCTTTGACTTGGAGTCAGATAACCTGGGGCCCCATGTCAGCTTCCCTGTTTACTGGCTGTACTGCCTTGGGCAGGACATTTACACCTGCTTGGCCCCCATCACAGGTAGTGTTACAGTTTCCTCGCAGATACAGCGTTTAGGCTTTATGCTGTGTGGGAATTTCCTAGGCTAACAGGTGAAAAGAGGACAAAAATAGCAGATTTCCATATTCTTTGGCATTTAAAGGTTTGAAAACATATAATCTGGGTAGTTTAAAAAGCAAGTTTCAGAGAATCATAACTGGGTAGCTTCGAGGTAGGGGGCAGCAGAGGAAGCGGGTCGGGAGCTGAGCAGGAAGCGAGGCTCTGCCCTTAACAAGCTGCGTGATGCTGGACAGGTCAACGGCTCCTGACTGTCAGCTTCCTGGGGTCTGCATGGCCGGACTAACTAGACCAGCTGAGACAACGGGCCTCTCGCAGTCACGCAGCACAGTGGTTCCACGTGAGCCGAATCTGAACTCACTGTTTCTAAGGGGGAATACCATCTAAGTTCTAAAAATAAACAGACAAACGACCTCTGGATCACTCCTCATTCTACCCTTTCGAGGGTTTTATGAAATAATCAAGCCTTAAGATACTGTAAGATCCTATAAAAAGGGACCTCTGTGCTTTTCCTGAATAATCCAGGTACCAAGGATCCCCTCCCCAGGAATAAAATCTATGTCATGCCCAGCAGAAACCAGTTAGAGACAGACCCAGCAAGAGATCCTTACCCTTCTGGTAACAGAAGGTTTGACATTCCTGAATTCCACGTCTCTCCAAGTGTACTGTGATTTTCTTTGACTCTTGTCTGCAGAAGATGGAAAGAAGACAAATAGGATGTGAGCAGCCATGGGTCTGTCCACTGTTGGGAAGTAATTATAATTGTGATTTTTCATTTAACCTGAGCCACCAGATGATACTCCCACTGTTAGTTTCACTAGATCCCACCTGTGTGCCAACTTACTGAGCTTCCCTCTTTACTCAATTAGACTGCTTGAGCCAGAGAAGCAGCCCGGAGTAGAAGACAAAGCACGGGATTTGAAATCAGGCCAGGATGAATCCAAGACCTGCCACTGACAAGCTGTGTGGTTCGGCAAGTTGCTCCCTTCCACCCAAGCCTGTTCCCACATCTATAAAATGTATTCAGTGGTGCCTACCTCACAGGCAGGGGCATTACAAAGACGTGCAGGAGGAAAGCACCTGGCACAGCGTGTCACAGAGCGGGTAGTCTCTGCAGGTACTGCCCTGCCCTCCAATGTCTAAAGCCAGATTTCAGGCTCCTTCAGAAGAGGACAAAAATATCCTCATCTGAAACTCGACCATTCCTACTTAATTGCATTTTAGATACTGAAAGAACCAAACCCCACGAAGACACCATCAAGGCTACGAGAAGGGGTTTTTGCCTTTGTCTCCCAAGCTGCCGCGACTTTTCTCTGTTAAAGCCTTCTTCTCCAACTCAAATCTCTCAATTGCCTTCAAAAACCAAAAAGAAATGGGGCATTAGGGATTAACGCAAATCTTGAGGGGGAGGAGGAGGGGGAGGGGAGAGGGAGGGTCAGGACCAGGCCATTTCTTCTGTTGGTATGCAAAAGGCCTGGAGCAAAGTCTGTGTCAGCCCCTTGCTGCCTTCCTGTAAGTGGCAGGACCTTGGTGGCTGTCAGTGGCACTGACGTCATTCCCTTGTCACCATCAATACATTCCCCCCACCCCCGCCTGCCCTCTCTCATGCTGCCAACCCCCTCCTGGCTACACTTCTGAGAACAGGATTTGCATCAGGTTCCAATCATGGCTCCACAAGTTACAAACTATTGTTTAATCTCTCTTTAAAAGGTGGAGAGTGATACCTACCCTCCAGGGTTCTTACAAGGATCAGCTATAAAGTATTTAATGCATCTTAAAACACTAGCACAGAGGCTACCAGATAAGAGCTGCTCAATAAAGGGCAACTATTATTATTAATCATCATATCCTTGACCTTTCAAGAGATTTCTCCTGATTTAGCTCCTCCTCCCCCACCCCCACCCATTCCTGAAAAGGAAAGAAATAAAAATGAATGTCAGTGACCCAACAGGTTGTATGGATTGTCCACCATGAGCCTAGCACTGTGCTCAGATAACACTTAACAAAGAATATGATTCAGTGTTTTTCCCCTCACAGAATTTACTCTCTCTTCAGTGAGTCAGAAGTCAACATGCGTGGACTAACTGAGTCCTAAACTGCTATGTTTAAGGATTCAAACAAGTGAGATTAATATAAGCTGGAGCAGCCACAGAGGAGTGCCCAGAAGAGGTGGGATATGAGTGTGGGGGGAAATGATGGGGTATTTGTCTCCTTAGCTTGATAAACTGTGATGTGCCTCCCCAGCCGTCCCCCCGTTCTCCTGAAATGGCATGTGTGTAAATGTGTGTATGTGGGGAAAGGGGTCACATCGGTAAGTCTACCAACATTCCTGTGCCAATAAAATCCACTGAGTTAGGCATGATGAATGAATTGGGTGAATGTGTGTTCATGTAGCACAGAGCGATGTCTCTAATGCCATTGTAGTCAATAGCGTCAGGGCCTTGGAAGGATGGACAAGATTTGCACACAGAGAGAGCAGAAAGGATAGTTGAACACTGGAGGAAAAGCAAGTTTTAGGGGTAAAAGGATGAGACCAGCACTGGGTTCAGTTTGCATCTGAGATGACCTCAGGGCCTTTGAGAGGGGCTGTTCCTGGGGAAGGTGCCTCTCAGAGCTACTGAGGACCAGCACTGCTGGGGGGATTCTTCAGATCTACAGATTCATCAGAGAGGCTTATTCCTTAGGTCTTCGTTGGGTCCTGAACTGTTTACTTATTATGACTCCTGAATGGTTTTCTATTTAAAGTTTAAAAACCAGCATATAACTTACATGGCACAAAATCAAATAGTACAGTAAATGCCTCCCTCCTATCCCTCACCCAATACCCTTCACTTCCTGCAGAGCCTTCCAGCGGCATTTCGCTCAAATGGGAGCATACAAGTGCAGCACCCTTTTCAGTTGTAGTTTTTAAAAAGCTCTCAGGGGAGTCTGATGATTTCTTATCACCCCTCTAGGTAGCTGGCACTAGGAGACAGAAAACAGGGAGAAGCTAAAATTCATGAACGCATCATCCGCAGGTATTTCCTGAGCACCTACTAGAGGCCGAAGGCTATGCCACACCAAGGAAGCAGCAGCGAGCAGCGTGTGCCATCCCTGCCCCTCATGGGCTCACAGACCAGCGGAGGGAAGCCAGGGATTACGAGGTGAGAGGTGCTGCCGTGGGGCGGGCCAGGAGGGCACCTACGCTAGACTTGGGGTGGAGGCGAGGGAAGGCCTGTCCAGAGGTAATGGCCTGCGGGCAGAGAGCACAGGAGCATGGCTTTGCTGGGGTAAATGGTGAGGCTGCGGTGGTGGGTGAATAATCTCTTGAGGAAGTGAGACTGGGAAGAGCTAAGCAAGGTTCATGGCCAGAGACGGGAAGGAGACCTGCATGTAGGGCATGGAAGGAATAGAATAGGACCTGGACCGTGTGGGAAGTGGGGAGGAGGACCTGGGACTTCTAAGGGGATGGCCCACTCACCATTCACACATATGTGTCAAGCACTTCTTCTGTACCAGGCATGGTGCTGGGTGCCATCCAGTAGGGCAGTATGGAGGCTGGAGATACCAGTCTGACTGTGGGTGCCAACTCAGAAGCAACCACACAGTCAAGGCCTGGTGTATAAAAGCCGAGGCAAAGTGCAGCCAACAGAGGTTGAGCAGGGTAGCCCGGGGATGGGATCTGGGGGCAGCAGGCAGTTGGCATCTGACAGATCTGACCAGCTGCCTGGGCAGAGAAACAGAGATGATCCTCTGAGGACCCATCCTGGTCTGACTGGCAGTGAGGGATACCTGAGGAGATAGGCCAATAGTGGGGTGGGCAGGCTTGCAAAGCTACCAGACCTTGCTTTGGGGAAGATAACATCATTCTTTTTCCTAATTTAGAAATTATGACTAAAAATCACAGAAGTGGCATATAAATACATTCTTGTTGTAAAATACTCAAACATTACAGAATAATATGGGGTAAATAAAATTTTACCCACCTCCCATCTCACCCCTTTCCAGAGCTGACCCCATTAACTGTTTGGTCCGTATCCTTCCAGACCTTTTTCCTACATGCTAAAACATACACAATGTCCCTCCTGTGAGCCAGGCACTCTTCTAAGCCCTGATGAAAGGGTTTTCATGAGCTTCGACTCACCTAATTCTTGCAACAACCCTATCAGGTAGATACATTAATGTTACCAACATTTTACAGGAAATTGGGACTCATAAAGGTTAAATAATTTACCTAATGTCACACTTTGAGGAAACAGTAGAGCAGGAATTTAAGCTGTTAGTCTTACTCTAGAGCCCCGCATCTGATGCTATACCCCTCCCACATATACGTGCACAGAGTGTCTTTTAACTTATGTGGAATCATTTCAAATAGTGTGTGGGTGCATATTTTGCTTGTATTCAAAACTCCTTTCTAATCCCTGTTCAACAGTGGGGCAGGAGAGACTGAAGCTAGTGGTCTCCTCTCTGCAGCAGTAAAAAATGGCTTAACCTGTGTGGAAGGCAATTTGACTGTATTTACCAATATTTCACATTTCACTTCTAGGGCTCTATCTTGCAGAAGTACTCACAAATGAACCCAAGATACATGTACAAAAATATTTACATGTTCATTGTGATGAAAATACCTCTGAAATATTCATCAATAGGGAATAGTTAAATTAACGATGCCATATCCACCTACAGAATACTATGCAGCCATGAAAAAATGGGGCAGGTCAACAGTACTGACTTTGAAAAATTTACAAGAGGTATTTACGTTAATAAATCATATTTTTATTTATACTAATAAAAATTAATGAATGAATCAATAAGAGAAAAGGAAAAGCCAGTTGTAAAACAGTATTTATGGTATGATTCTATTTATGTTAAAACAAGAAAACAATAGTCCTAAATGTATGTGTTGTACATTTCTAATGTGTAAGAAAAAGTTCTGGAAGGATACACACCACACAATTAGCAATGGTTACTTCTAAGGAGGGAAATACAGCTGGGGAAAAAGTGACTTTTGCTGTTTACTTATATACTTATAGAGGGTTTGAATATTTAAGAATAAGTATGCATTACCTTTTTAAAATTTAAGCTATTTAAAATTTTAAATATAAGACAAGAAGATTGACTGAAGAGCTGAACTGATTCCAAAAGTCAGCAGTGAAAAACCTGGGGTGAGGGTGAGGCTAGAAACTGAAGACAAATCACTAGGTCAGGACTTGGTGGGAAGCAAACTGTCAGGCGGAAGGAGTCAGGGGATTTAGGTGGGGTGAACTGGCAGGATGTAAAGGAGGAGGGTTAAGACTGACCAGAGAAGCTAAAGAGATGTGATGGGAGAGGAGGAGAGCTGGGGGAGCACAGTGGACTAAAGGTCAGGCCAAGTGAAATCTGGCAGAGAAGGTCTTCCCAATCTATAGAACTGCATGCCAGCAAATGACTACTTGGGTTTTCATCTGGTCTGAGTCTCTCTCATTGTTTGGAGACACAGATGGTAACATAAGCGAGTGAAGCAGGCGAAATGTAAGATCACGTGGCAACTCATACTTTGCCTCCATGTCAGGAACACTAAATGGTGCTGATCAGTCGATCACTGACATACAAAAGAAAAGAAATCAAACAGACCTTACATTGTTCACAAAAATTAACTCAAAATGGGTCATAGAACTAAGTATAAAATGCAAAACTATACAATCCTAGAAGATAACAGAAAAAAATCCTAGATAACCTTGGCTCTGGTGATGACTTTAGATACAATACTAGAGGCACCTGAGAAGAAACAACTGATAAATTAAAAACTTCTGCTCTGCAAAGGACAATGTCAAGAGAGTAAGACAACAAGCCACAGACTGGGAGAAGATATTTGCAAAAGACATATCTGATAAAGGACTATTATCCAAAATACATGAAGAACTCTTAAAACCCAACAAGAAAACAAACAACTCCATTTAAAAGCAAGGCAAGACCTTAACAGACACCTCACTAAAGAAGATATACACATGACAGGTAAGTACATGAAAAGATGTTTAATATCACATGTCATTAGGGAACTGCAAATTAAAACAAGAATGAGATAGCACAGGACACCGATTAAAGTGGCCAAAATCCAGAATACCACAACAAATGCTGGTGGGGATGTAGAGCAACGGGAACTTCAGTTGATGGCTGGTGGCAATGCAAAATGGTACACCCATTTGGGAGATAATTTGGCAGTTTCTTACAAAACTAAACATACCAGGAATCACGCTCCTTGGTATTTACCCAAATGAACTGAAATATGTCCAAACAAAACCCTGAAAACAAATGGTTTTTTTTCTTCATAACAAATTATGAAAAAACAGAAGCTTTCTTCATAATTGCCAAAACTTGGAAGCAACCAATATGTACTTCAGTAAGTGAATGGATAAACTGTGGTACACCATATAATGGAATGTTATTCAGCACTAAAAAAGAAAAGACCATGAAAAGACATGGAGAGACCTTAAATGCATACCACTAACTGAAAGGAACCAATCTGAAAAGGCGATATACTGTATTGGTTCCAACCATATGACATTCTGGAAAAGGTAAAACTATGGAGGCAGCAGGCCACGGGTTGCGGAGAGAGAGGGATGAACAGGAGGAACACGGGATTTTTTGGGCAGCGAAACTATTCTGTATGATACTATGAAGGTGGATACATGTCATTACACATTTGTCCAAACTCACAGCATGTACGGCACAATGCTAGAACCCTACTGTAAGCAATGGACACTGGGTGATAATGACGTGTCAATTTAGGTTTATCAACTGCAACAAATGTGGTGATGGGGAGGTTGTGCATGTGTGGGGATAGGGGTATATAGGAACTTTGTACTTTCAGCTCAGTTTTGCTGTGAACTTAAAACTGCTCTAAACACTAAAGTTTACTAATTGAAATATTTATCTGTGAGACCTCTATTAGCAAATGTACTGTCAAATAAATAGAGGGGTCCCCAGCCCGTCCCTCCCAGAAGCCTTGCCTCACACCTATAACTCACCAGACTGTTGACCAATGCGTTGGGGCTCAGATCTATTTCAGCAATGGTTTGGTTCACCTGGTGCATGGAGCCAATGAGGCACGCTGGGAGGTGAGTCAGCTAAGGAGACTATGGGTGTGATCACGTGCAAACGGGACCCGGCCGGCCTGGCAAGGATGGCGGCTCACTTCCTTTCTGTGCTCTCTCTCCACTTAATTATTCTCTTTGTAAATATTCATACTTCTTTTCTCTTGTTTAGAAGAGATGCTTTATAAATTATAAACAAAAATTAACCACCTCCAAGACATCTTAGAAAATATATAAATTATCCACTCTGCTACTACCTTAACAACTTCTGTTAGGACTTGGGGAGATTTCTGTATTTTTTACATACTTTTTTTTATCATTAATATACAATTACATCAGCAACATTATGGTTACTGGACTCCCCCCATTATCAAGTCCCCACCACATACATACATACTTCCTTTTTACCAAATTATAATGTCAGTGTATGCCTATTTTACTACTCTGACTTCTCTTCATTATTATGATCATTTTCAGTAGGGCTAAATAATTTTCATCATATTTTAAGTGTCATTATATGAACCAATATATGAATTGGAGGATGCACCCTGATACTTAACTGTTCCTTGGCTATTGAATATCTGAGTAAGTTGTTTATAATTTTTTGCAGTCACGAACAGTGCTGTGATGCACACAGTCACACAGAGGGCTGTTTCCATATTTTGGATTATCCATTTAAGGGAGATTTTCAGGTGAGGGAGAACTGCACCAAAGGGTATCTCTACCTTTTTATCACTGTTGAAATCTCTATTCAGTTCAGTGGTTCCTCTTGCTACCCTCTCTATAGTTGCATTTCTTTCTGTCTTAGCTTCAATTGGTCTAAGATCTATCTTTTGCAAAAGACCCATAATCCTATCACTCGTTATTGCCTTCACATAAAACAAGGTTCACTTTTATTTCCATTACCTTGAAGTATTCTTACAAATCTGAGGACACACTTGACTGACAAAGGTGCTGAGGGATATGACAAATTCAAAGGGAGTGAAAAGGGTTAGGCTGAGGTGAGTGTGAGATTAAGAAAAAAAGAGAGGACAGACCTCAGAAAAAGGCCCAGAAAAGTGAGATCCTGAAGCAGAGAAGTGAGATTCTGATGGGATCCCTCGCACTCATCCTGAGCAGGGTTTCTGAGCGGCGTGGGAGGGATGGGATGCAGAGGGACACATGCCGGTTGGCTGGCAGCAGCATGACTTGAAAGTCAAAGCTCATGTTAGGAGAGGGAAAGCCCGGGGCTTATTTGTATCCTGACACGGTTACTTGCAGGGCAAGCTCTAAGGTCCTCCAGAGATGGCGTTCTGGGGGTCCCTGAGATGTAGTTCAGGGCTGGAAGTGAGCAGAGGATCAGCAAAGGCAGAGTTAGAGAAGCGAGATATTGATAGAGACTGGACGATGCCAGAGGGGTGAACTCTGAGCCTGGGCAGAAGGGCTGGCAGGTGAGGAGAGGTGAGGCCAACTGGAGTTAAAAAAAGAAAAACACAGCTCACTAGTCAGAGCACAAACGGCTGGACCAGGACCTCTTGGCTACCTACGATTCTTTGGATGGTATGAAGGGACAGAAGGAAACTATGGGAAATAAATGAGCTTTCCTCTTCCTTCTCATTCTTTCAACAAATACTTCCAATATGACTCCCTTTGGGGACTCTTTCTGATGATCTTAGTCAAACAATCCTTCAAGTCTCTAATTCTTTTAGAGGATTGATACGGCTAAGGATTGATAAACGTGTAAGGAACAAGCTAGTAACGCAGGTTACAGACTCAAGCCACAACTGTAGATGGCACCCCAGAAGGATACAAGGCGGACTGTCCTCCAGGCCCCTCTCCATGGCACTCTTCCTCGCATTCTGCGCAGCGAGCGAGACGGCCAGGGCCTCGTCCACTGGTACCATGGGCAAAGCGGTGACATTGATGACTTCCATCTTCCTGAAATGAGCCATCGTCCAGGTTCTTTTAAACTGACAAACAGTTAAGTTTCTACTTTTAAGATCCTTTCATTTCCTACTCTAATCTTGTTTTCTGTTCAGCCAGCCTCCTGGAAAATCACAAATAGCACAGAAACATCTTAGAAAACACGACTGTGCTCATCTGGTAAGCAGGCCTGGTGGCGAGGCACATGCTGTATGCAACATGGGGAATAAAGGCTTTTGTCTGAGAAGCCCATTCTTAACTGAAGATTTTGAGGCATATATACCTTTTCTGTCTGCCTGCTGATGCCTGCCCACCGCCCCACTCAGCTCCCAGTCAAAATTGTTTTAGTTTTCAAAATAAGGAGACCAGAGAGCTGACGAGGTGGGGGCTCCAGCCACCAGTCTGTGAAGTCCAGGATTCTGCTTTCATCTATTACATCACTTAAAATACTGAAATTATTTACTTCTGCATCTTTCTCCCTTAGGTAAATTACTCCCTAGGGATTATATTTATTCAATATTTGATTCCATTTTAGACTAATTCACCACACTTTTCCCAGTCCAAACAGGAAAAAGTTGTCCCAAGTCAGTTGGATTGCAGGAAAGGCTGGTTCAGGCCCAGGTCAATACTATCTCCTCCCTTCTGCTCTTAGCTTTTACCCATAGAGGCATGGGGTGAGGGGAGGGTAAGAAGGAGGCAGGCGCATTTTCAAATTTCTCACTTTCATCCCACCCACTCCCCAGAATGACTGGAAAACTACAACGTGTTTTCTGAACAGCCAAGTTTAGGGTGGCCCTGTCAAGAAGACTGTTGCTTTAGCTTAACATTATTGCTCATGAGTAATGGAAGACTTTAATATTATGCTTCTTAAAATAAATGTTTAAAATACACACTCTGTTCCCTTTTGAATTTTTCATGATACCATTTTAGCATAAGTATTCTCTGAAACCTGATAAGTACTTATTGTCACCATCTGGGGAGGAAAATAGGATGGGAAGAAAACTAACCTGGTTGAATATCTACCTGTGCCCTGCACTATTGAATGTACTGGGGCAGATAAGTGGAAGAATAAAAAAAGTCTTACCCTCATGAAGCACTTCTTCTAGCAGCCAAAATTTGTGCCCTGTTTAAAGTTAACATGTTATAACTTAAACATGTTAAACAAGTTAAAACAATGCTGACCTTGGAGTCAGACAGACCTTTGTCTACCTTAACCTTCAGTCATTCAATGGATATTTACTGAGTGCCTGACCCAAGCTAACAGTTGCTCCTAACTGGGACAGGATGGTGAGCTAAACTACTCTTGAGCCCTGTCCTAATGGAGTTTATGTCTACTAGGGGAGATGTACAATAATCAGACAATTATATAAATAGCTGTGAATTATAACTGTGACCACTGCTTTGAAGGGAGGTACACAGTGCTATGTGACAACATAATAATGAATATTTACCCATTTATTATTAATCCTCATTAAGGTGGTCAAGACTTGAAGGAAAAGCAGGAGTAAATTAGATAAAGCAGGAGAGGAAAAAATACCATCCAAGCAGAAGAAAGCAAAAGTAGAAAGGTAGGAAAAGGTTAGACCTGTGCGTGACAGTAGCCATTAGCCACATGTGACAAATGAACCCTTGGAATTTGGTTAGTGTGCCTAAAGAACTAAAATTTTAATTACTTTAAATTTTAAAATGAAGCAGTATAAATTTATTGATTATATGTTGAAATGACAATATTTGGGACATATGAGTTAAATAAAATATTATTCAAACTAATATTACTTGATTTTTTTTTAAACTTAAAAAATATGGCTACTAGAAAATTCTAAATTACATAGAAGGCACACATTACTTTTCCACTGAACACTGCTGGGTTATACCAGGCAGATTTTAGTTCTAACACATGGAGTTCTCCACTTTTCAATGAAGTTGGGTGTAGCTCGAAGAAAATTGCACTTGGAGCCAGAGACTCACGGGTCCTGCCCCTTATTGGATGACTTGATGCACCCACTAGGCACCCAGTAACTATCCCTTGAATGACTCTTGAGTTTCTTCATTTATCAAATGGAACCAATGATAAACACTGTTAGGACTGCAATAGTTCTCTGTCCCTCGGTCAATGAGACCTTGAAGTGGTCCCTGGGCCTCAGTTTCCCCTGGTGTATTAGTCGATGAGAGTCGGGGCGTGGGGAGCAGGCTCGAGGAGGCGGGCAGGGCGGGTCACGGTCTGTCTGTAAGTCCTACCTGAAGGCGTCGGAAACCGAAGAACTCAGGGCCGGTTCCGCCACAGACCCCTCAGGAGACCCTGTAAAGTTTTGGATGGGACACCCGACACTCGTTGCCCCCACACCCACCAAGAAGGGATGCCCGTTGCTTTGTGGTCTGGAGGAGGGACGTCGGGGAGGGGCCCATTCTGCTGCTGTGAATCCCGGCGGTCTCCAGGCAACGCCGGGCGCAGACGCCACTTCCCCCTCCCACAACAATGAACTCTCCCCAGCAGGCGCGAACCGCCCCGCGGGCTGGGAGGCCAGACCAATTGGTTTGTGGGAGGGAGAGTGCAGTTCCTCGTCCTAGTCTATAGCATGGGGCATGGAAATGCCTCTAGAAGACAATCTCTTTGTGGAATATATTTAATATATATCGAGGCAGTCCTCAAGCATTTCTGGTGCCTCGCGTAAGCTCGCTTTGGGGACCCCGTGCACCCCCACTTCCCTCAGTGGTAGAGGCCGAGGCGGTGCTGCGCGTGCGCGTGTGGTCTGAGAGCGGAGGGGCTTCAGAGTTGTGTCTGTGCGAGTGACGCCGACACCGGTGGGCGGCCGCGGGACGTGTCCGGTGCGTTTGTGCCCAGGCTGCTGGGACGCGTCAGGTAGGGGTCCGAACCCGTCGTCGCCCCAGGGTGGGACGCCCGCGCGTTCCCCAGGGGACCCGGGGCCTCCAGTAGCTGGAGCGGCCGGAGGGCGTGGGGCAGGGGGAGGAGGCCGGGTTCTCCCCAGGCCAGCCGCCGCCCTTACTGAAGGGTGTTTCGCCTACGTAAATTGGGGTAGTTATCGCGCCCGGTCCGTGAAGGTGATTAAACGAGGGCGTGCGAGTGAACGTTTGTTCCTTACCGTTAGTGGAGTCCAGTAGCCCTGGGTGGCAGAGTACCTGTGCGGCACGTACTTGGCAGGCCCTGAACTCGGGGACTCATTTTCTCAGAATCCAATGAAAGCCAAAGGCTGCCCCTTATCTTCTTGTTTGAATAAAATAAGATAATCTCTTTTATGGCCCATTGCAAACTGTAAAGCATTGCACAGAGATGAAATAATTATTATTAGCGCAGAGGAGTAGACCTTATTTGAAGCCCAATTCCACCACCTTCCCACACCAAGCTGTGATTGGGGACAAATTACTTTTCTAAGCCGCAGTTTTCTGATATGTAGAGGGGACATACTTGATCTACTTACCAGGGTTGTTTTGAGCAACAAATGCCACAGCTTTTAATAAACATTAAAGAACTGTAACAACCTGAGAGTGGATACTATTGATATCCTTGATTACAAATAAAGAAGCCTAAGGTTCAGGGAGGATAAGTTCTGGGGTCCCAGTTGGGGGGTGAGGGAGCAAAGTGATGATGAGAACCCAAATGCTCTCCCTTCACTTTTTTTGTGTTGAGCTCCTCTCTCTCCAGGGAGTTTCATGAGAAAGAAGGCTGCCTTAGGCCAAGCTGGGATCTCTAGGTCCACACTAATGCGTCAGGTCCCTAGGGTCTCAGCCAGAGTTGTTTGTGGATTATTGGATCTGATTTAAAAGACAACTAGTCCAGACCCTTCCTTTTCCTCACCTGTAATATACTGATGACAGTTATCTGCTTAAGGCTATGAGAACTAGTGAGGCCATGAGTGAAGTGCCCCTGTTAAGAATGTGCCACAACCTCACACCAGTTAGGATGGCCACCATCCAAAAGACAAACAACAACAAATGTTGGCGAGGATGTGGAGAAAGGGATCCCTCCTACACTGCTGGTGGGAATGTAATTTAGTTCAACCATTGTGGAAAACAGTATGGAGGTTCCTCAAAAAACTCAAAATAGAAATACCATTTGACCTGGGAATTCCACTGCTACGAATTTACCCTAAGAATGCAACAGCCCACTTTGAAAAAGACATATGCACGCCTGTGTTTATCACAGCACTATTTACAATAGCTAAGATATGGAAGCAACCTAAGTGGCCATCAGTAGATGAATGGATAAAGAAGATGTGGTACATATACACAATGGAATATTACTCAGCCATAAGAAGAAAACAAATCCTACCATTTGCAACAACATGGATGGAGCTAGAGGGTATTATGCTCAGTGAAATAAGCCCGGCAAAGAAAGACAAGTATCAAATCATTTCACTCATCTGTGGAGTATAAGAACAAAGAAAAAACCGAAGGAACAAAACAGCCGCAGACTCACAGAACCCAAGAATGGTCTAGTGGTTACCAAAGGGAAAGGGACTGGGGAAGATGGGTGAGAAGGGAGGGATAAGGGGGAAAAGGGGGCATTATGATTAGTACACATAATGTAGCGGGGTGGGGGTGATATGGGGAAGGCAATATAATAGAGAAGTAGTGATTCTATAGCATCTTACTATGCTGATGGACATCTTACTACGCTGATGTGACTGTAATGGGGTATGTGGTGGGGACTTGATAATAGGGGGAGTCTAGTAACCATAATGTTGCTCATGTAATTGTACATTAATAATACCAAAAAAAAAAAAGAATGTCACAATGTATTTGGCTATTCTTAGCCATTAGTAGACATTTTGGATTATTTCTTATTTTTTACTGTTAGCAGCAGAGAACCTTTGTGTGAGCATGTCAAATTCTTGCTGGAGGATATGTTTTTAGAAGTGGGTTTGTTGGCCAAAAAGTATGCACATTAAAAACTTCACTAGGTTTTGCCTAAATGAAAAATTGTAACATCTTTTGTTTCCACCAAGAGTAAATGAAAGTGTCTTTTTCTCCACACCCTCACCAACATTGGATATTGTTCATCTTTTAAAGTTTGCCAATATGATGGGTGAAAGTGCTTCTTCTTATGATGGATCCCACAAGTTATCAATACAAAGATAATCTGATATATAATTTATATGTATGACATATAATTTTATATACCTTTAGCCAACTGATCATGGCTGTGGGCCTTGAGAAAATTGTTTTCTCATCTCTGATGTGGATAGGAAAATGCCTACCTTATGGGGTTGTTGGAAGGAATAAAAGAAATACATGAAGTGTGCCCAGCATGGGGCCCAACCCAGTGCATATGCAGGAAGTTGTATAGTTTTTGTTACTGTGCCCTTTTCTTTTTTGAGTTAAAATCTTTCTTCCTGGATATTCCCATTTCATTCTTGTCCTGCCCTCTACAGACATAAGATTAATGGTCTTCCCTCTTCTGCCCTTTTTCTTTTCTCTAGCAGAAACAATGCCAGGGCCTTCTACTGTGTTTTGGATGACGTGGTAGCACAGCTTCAAACTCCCTCAGCATCTTGGTCCCCACTGTTGTCCCGTCTACCACCAAGCTGGAAGCATTCTGGTTCGTCTTAAGTCCTAAAGTGTTGTGCCCAGGCCCAAATGCTATCCCTAGGTTGTGGGTCTACTGCTATTTTTAATTACAAACACACACCCCTAAATATCTTTGTTTTTATTTATAAATCATATGTATGTATACTTATGTATTGCATATTGTAAAACCTCCAGACAAACTTCTAAACTTTTATCATTAATTTTAGTGACATTAATTTCCCCATTGCTGAAACCATACTATGAGTTATCTTTTAATCATAGTTGACATGAAACTTTGTTTCAAATAGTCTTGACAAGTTCCCTCTTTTCTTCGCCAACTTCTTGTCAGATATGATTAATTCATTACTGTTTGTCACACACTGTAGTGAAGGAAGATTTTATACGTAGGAGTAAGAAAAGCGAGAGCTCTGCTACTTTCTTTTTGCTCATTTTTACTTTCATTATTGTTATTTTCAATCTGCAGTTTCTAAGAAGGAATCTTTTAAAGCTACTTGTGTGTTAAAGTTAAAATTGGGTAAAAGATGGGGAGAAATGAATCTTGACTCCTGTCTCATGCCAAATATAAAAATTAATTCCAAATGAGGCATAGTCCTAAATGTGAAAGCTAAAACAACAAAATTTCCAGAAGTTAGTATATGAAAATATCATGACCTTGGAGTAGGCAAAAATTTCTTAAAATAGGATACAAAAACACTAATCATTAAAAAGAAATGGATCCATTAAAACTAAGAAACTTCCTTAATTGAAAAGAAACCAATAAGAAAGCAAAAGGGCAAGCCCAAGATTGGAAGAAGGTATTTCAGTATTCCTTATATATACAAATGACATATAAAGAATCCTTAGAGATCAACAAGAAAGTGATAGACAACCCAACAGAAAAATGGCAGAAGGCTTATACAAGCATGTCATAAAAAAGGATATCCAAATGTCCAATGAGTATATGAAAAGGTACCCAATTTAATTAGCCACTGGGGAAAAGCTATTTAAATACACAATGTAACACCACTATATACTTATTAGAATAGATAAAATAAAAATATAGGAAATTCCAAATGTTCACAAGGATCTCTTGTACGCTGTTGGTAGCAGTTCAAATTGGTACAACCACTTTGGAAAGCCATTTGGCAGTGGCTTCTAAAGCTGAATATATGAATGTATGACACAATTCCACCCCTAGGTATAGAACCAGAGAAGTTTACTTAAGTATACAGGAATACATGTCCAAGCATGTTCTTAGCAGCACTATTTTTAATACACAAAAAAACTTTTAATAGATAAAAACTGAAATGGTCCAAACCTCTACTTCATGCAGTAGAATATTTCATTGCAATGTAAATAACTACAACCAAATACAACAACATAGATAAATCTCACAAACATGATATTGAGTAAAGAGAGCCAGACACAAAAGGGAACATACTGTACAAATCTACGGATATAACGCTGTTGAATGAGGCTTGTGGAATGACGAAATGTTCCTCATCTGGAGGGCAGCTACACAGGAGTGTATGTGTGTGTGTGTGTAGTAAAAACTCTTGCAGTCATACACTCATCATTTGTGTACTTTTCTGTATTTATGTTATATTGAAATACAAAAAGACTTAATTTCTTCCTCTTCCTCCACAGCCAAAATGGGTAGTATCAGTAAATCTACCTAACTGGGCCTGTGTGAATTGCAATAGGTTGTAGTAATGCTGAAAGCAGGTATGGCTGTCAGGGTCAGCTCTTCCCTGTTGTGGCCTCTTCCTTCCACTGGACTCCTCACCTACCAAACAGGACAGGAGACCTGACATATGGACCGAGTAAGGGACATTATTAACAATCTGAAAGCGAGCTATAAATAGTTTCATTTCTTTAAAATGGAATATATGCAGAGGCTATTGCCCACATGTGATTCTCACCAGCATACGGGAACAAGTAGGATTGCATTCCTTGCTCTAAACTATAAATCTGGTGATGCCATCTTGGGTCCAAAGTTAAGACAGGCAAGGTAGGCATTTGCATGTGGTTAACATAAACACACAGACCTGCTTCAAATACTAGCTACCACTTAGGACCTTAGTCTTTCTTTAATTGAAGTGTGGTTGATACCACTTATATTGGTTTTAAGTATACAACATAGTAATTAGATAGTTACCTACATTATTAAAGCTTCATCCCAACTAGTGTAGTTACTATTTGTCAACATAGAAAGATGTTACAAAACTATTGACTATATTCTCTAAGCTGTATTTTTGTCCTCATGATTAATTTATATTATGATTGAGATTTTGTGCTTCATCCTGTTACTAATTTATGTTAAGATTGAGACTTTATGCCTGTTGATCCCCTTCACCTCTTTTACCCACCCATTCCAACCCCTCACCCATGGTGACCACTAGTCACTCTCAGTGTCTGTGAGTGTGTTGCTGTTCTGTTTTTAGATTCCACATATAAGTGAAATCATACTTTTGTCTTCCTCCACCTGGCCATTTCACTAGGACCTTAGTCTTTCTAAACCTCATCTGTCATGTGGTGCTAATAAAATGAGCTAATTAAGGGTGGTTGTGACAATTATGAGTTGGTGCCTGCAAAGATTTTCACATACTGCCTTGCACATAGTGAGCACTCAACACTTGGGAGCTATTACCAGGATTGCTAATAGCCACATGAAAAGATGTATGTTTTCATGATTTGAGGACAGTGGCATAAGGTCACCGATCCAACTGTTAGTACTGCTGACTTTTTCTGACCCTAGGAGAAGGGAACATTGACCTTTCTTCCATCAGGCCAAAGATGCCTCTCTTTGGGAATACGTTCAGTCCGAAGAAGACGCCCCCTCGGAAGTCTGCTTCTCTCTCCAACCTGCATAATGTGAGTGTCAGTACTGGGCTCAGTCTCTTGTGCAGCTTGACTGGAGTGCAAGCCTGGTCTCTTAAAGAAAGTGTGGTCCTCTAGAGAGGCATCCTCCTAGGAGGGCAACCTTTTCATTCATATTAATTGCAATTGCTGAAAACAGTTTTTAACTCCTAAAATTGGGAATCATTGTCAGCTTGTTCAAGAAACTGCTAAGACAGTCAATCTCATTATGATTTCTGATTCCAAATGATGTATCCAGTTTGAGTGCATTTTATTCCCAAGACTTGGCCAGGAATCAGTTTTAGTCATGTCTAAGAATCAAGCTCATTCTCAAAGGATGATGTTTTCCCACTATTAACCACATTCAAAAGGATATGTTACAGCTCCACAGGCCGTTTCCGAGCTCCTCGAGGGCAGAGCTGGTCGCACTTATCTCTGCATACCAGTAGCAGTCCTGATGGCAAGGCCGGGTGCTCAGCGAGCTGGAGAAACATTGAAAATCACACTAAAGAACAGTTACTATAGCTAATTGGGTGTTAACATTTTATGCCTTTTTCATGACATATATATCCATAGTAAGCAAATGATGACTTAGGGGCTTATTACATTTAAAAGGGTTTTTGACTACTAAATATTTTCAGTAGACTGTCTTAAATTGTTAAGTGCCTAGTAGCTGTAAAATAATTCAGTTTAAAAATATCAGCATACATAGCTTTTTTGGAAAACTTCTGTTGTATAAAGCAGTATGTTTCTTCTCTCTCAAAGTTTAAACATTTCATTGCCTTATTTGATTTTCTGACTTTAATAAATGTTGTTAAATGTGCTGGGTAACAATGAGAAGAAATGAGCTGTCATATAGCTAGCAGAGGAGGCATGGAGCCCTCGGCCTTCCGCCTCCCGAAGCCAGCGTGCAGTGTCTCGCCCACAGCTGGATCGGTCAACCTGGGAGGTGGAGCTGGGCCTTGACTACGGGACTCCCACCATGAACCTGACGGGGCAAAGCCTCAAGTTTGAAAATGGCCAGTGGGTAGCAGGTGGGCTAATTTCCTGCCATTTGTCCAACAAGATAGTAGAAGGGAATCCCCCTCCTAACTACTGGTTCTACCCTTCCACCAGAGATGGGGGTTAGTGGAGGTGTGGACCAGAGGGAGGCTCAGCGCCTCTGGAGGCGGAACCAGCAACTGGAGGAAGAGAACAATCTCCTGCGGCTCAGAGTAGACATCCTGCTGGACATGGTGAGGAAGGTGACGGGAAGGGAGGACTAGGCTTGCCTACGTCAGTTGCTTTGAATCCAGAGATACAAGTCAGACCCAGTTCCTACCCTCAAGGGCCGACAGTCTGGTGGGAAGATGGACAATAAACATAATGACAGTGCGGAGTCTATACACGGCCTGGCGCCAGCACATGAAAAAAGGAACGCGATTCTGTCTGGTCAGGGACATCAAAGCGGAAGGGATATTTGAGCTGAATGTGGAAGGGTACAGGGAGGAATGGAGGTTGGGATGGAGGCATTACGGAAAGGACAGTGTGCTCGTGACTTGGAGGCGTCCCATACCAAGCAGGCAGTCAGCAGCGCCCAGGGCGAACCTCCTGTGGGGCAAACCTGCATTGGTGTTGGTTTCCTGTGGCTGTTAAAAACAGCCACCTGCTGGACCTGGAGGTGCAGGTCAAGGTCCTTGAGAGGCAGGAGAGCATACCCCATAGTAGTTACGGGCAGGCATTCTGGAGCCGAACTGCCTGGTTCTTGCCCAGCTCCACCATGGCTGTCTGACTTTAGGCAAGTTACTTAACTGCTCTGTGTGAAGAGACTTAGTTTCTTCAGCAATGAAATAGGCACAGTAGTGAGAGATACCTCACAGTGAGTTAATAATACAAGTAAAACAGTTGAGATAGTGTATCGCTCTGGAAGTGTGGCTCGCTCTTCCCAGTGAGGGAAATGTTTTGAGAGTGGATCTCTCTCTGCCCTAACTTGAGTGTCTTCCACCTGTTACTCTACAGTCCATTGAAAGAGCCTAGTGAGGAAAGTTGCATTCTTTTTCAAGCATTTCCCCTAATTACCATTGTGTTAGCTACAGCTCACAAGCAACCTAGACCCTAATCCTCTCACCCTGGATTTGGCAGTATTGGCCTTTTTCATCCCCTGAGGCCTGCAGTCCTCAACACAGTGAGTGCCATGCAACCCTAGGGAATCAAAAATGTTGACAGTGGATTAGAATGTTCTTCATGGACTTAAGGCCCTGGGTCATCAGGTGGTTACGTTCTGCCCAGGTACAAAGGGTTCCCATCGTGGAAGGCAGCTGGCAGTGCTAGAGAAATGCCAGAAGGCCTTGCAGACCTGAGACATGGCTTAGAAATGTCCTTGGTAATGGTCTGCTTTTTTCCTTTCAGCTCTCTGAGACCATTGCCGAGTCCCAGTTAATGGGGAAGGAGCTGGATGAGCTGAAGAGTGTCAGCCGGAGGAGGAAATGAAGACCCCAAAGACACGTGTTAGGGAAGGAGGGAGAAACCTACTGAGCAGAAGAGTAGGATATGGCCGGGGTGTTTTTTTAGTTAAACTAGTGGATTAGGTCCTGCGATAAGGCCTAAAGGTACTGACCCCTTGGGTTGGCAGTAGGACAGTGACAGCCCAAACCAGGATTCCAGGCCAGGGCCTTCAGTAGGAACGGCTGCACGGCACAGGGAGGCGAGTGTGTAAATCGGGCCTCAGGGAGGCCTGCGGCAGTGAGGAGTCTTCAGGTGCTGTCCAGTTACTTCACATACAAGTGCACCTGTCCCAGGTTCTCTCTTGCTGGCCTGACACTGCTGGGAGAAGCAGCAGGAATCCATCATGTCACCCCTGGCACTGGTGGTGGAGTACAGCACCAGTTCTGAAGAAGCCTGTGTTATGGCGTCTCCGGGGAGCAGCTCTCCTGGCTGGCTGCCCCTCAGGCCACACTCTCCATCCTTTAGAGAAAGAATTCTCCTTCCTCAAATCCACAGCCTCTGGCTTCATTCCTCAGCCCCAAACATCAGCCGGTACCAGCCTTCCACAGCAACACCATATTTTTGTGCTACTTTTCCATTGACACTACTTTTTTTTAATTAAATGAGGTTATATAATCGGTCTGTGGCCAGAGTGACTGGGAAAAGCAGCATTAGTTCTTGGAGAAGTGAATGGAGTCTGGAGTCTAAGCCTCTGTTGTTCCTTCCAAAGACAGAATTTTAGGGTGCGGGGAAGTGCCACCATTGCAGGAGAAGCACTCCAGCTTCCTGGGCGTTGGCAAAGGCTGACCTGCCACAGAAACAGTCCCTCTGCCCCCATTCCCGCCCCTCCTCCTCGAGGGAGTTGGGACTAGCTCAGACCTGGCAGGGGCCGAGCACCTGGAGCTGAGGGCCGCATCCCTGCAGTGGGAATCTGTGCTGAGTTGGTGTGAGCAGAGCTGCTGTGGTTGGAGGAGGGAGCCCGCCAAAGGGACCCAGCTCCGGGAGCGGGGTGGGGACAGAGAGCCTAGGGCTTTAGACCAGGATGGCTTCTCTGGTCAGCCGTTTCTGAGTGCCTGTTACTTGCCTGGCACTGGCCTTAGGCCCTCGCTTGCCCTCCCATTTCTCCTCAGTTCAGTCCTGTGAAGCAGGGATGGTCAGCATGCCTATTTGGAGGTAAGGCACCAAACTCCAGGAGGTTCAGAAACTGGTCTAGATCATACAGGGGAAGGTGGGAACCTGTTGATTCACAGCTCAAGGTGAAAGAGAGCTGCTGGGTGCAGAGTAGCCTCAAATGGAGGCTGCTAGTGGAGGCCAGGGCCAGCTCCATGGGGGATGGACAGAAGCAGCCTCTGTCTATGTTCTGATAACAGGAAAATAAAGAAAAAATTGGAGGATACAAATACAGGGTGTAAATCTTCAGGGGCAGGTAATAGGAACAATTGAGACTTTGCTTATTGCTAGACCAGTGCAGTTGGCAACCATTTATTGAAACCCTTGATGCCAACTGCCTATTAATAATTCTTGTGACAATTCAGGTTTACCCTCATACCCTGCATTTAGATGGAAAAATGAGATTACACAGCTGGAAAGAATGGAGCCAGGACTGAATCAGGAATCATGAGGGGCAGGTTTGTCACAATGATGTGGGTCCCACTCTGCATCACCACTGCCCTGTAAGGTGGGGCCCACAGTGTTGGCTGATGGATGTGGGGTATAAGCTAAGTCAAGGGTGATCCTGTTAAATGAAAGTCTGCAAGAGAAAAGGGAGAAATCATCCATGTCTCCCAGACCCAACCCCTATTGTTGTTTTTGTCAAGTACATCCTTCAGTTCTGGCTAAAGCCTTTATTAACCAAATCTAATAACAGAGTGATCTCCTTGACATTATCTCTTGTAGTCACTACAGCAGTTTTGTGAACTTCAGTGCTGAGTGTCAGATTAGGAAGAGCTGTTAGAGAAGAGGTGAGGGAGGCGGGGCGGGGGATGGGGGTGGGGGTAGGGGAGCGAGCGCAGGGTCAGGCAGACAGGAAGCTGTTCAGCTTGAAGCCTAGCAGGGGGATCCTTCTGTGCAGTGGCACAGATCCAGGCTAAGGTGTATTTTTTATGGAAGGGATTTTTCCAAGGTTCTCAGGAGAATCTATGCCCCCCACTGATGCAAATTAAGAACTCTATTACCAGCTTTAAATTCTGACAGGACAGAAACAGAAAAGGTAGAAAACATAGACTGGAGGGATGGGCAATGAGGAGCTGAGGTCAGGGTTCTAGAACACCTCTCCATCATGGCAGAGTCACCTTTGTGCCTGGCATGGGGCGTCATCACTCACTCAGTGGCACCTCTGTCCTCTTGCCTTTCAGCTGTGACCCCCTGCCAGGCAGCAGTCTTGCATGTCTTCTCTGCTGCCACTGAGCATTTCGCCTTGAAAGCCTCAGTTCGCCTTGAAAGACTTCATATGCTATGGTTCTGAATATTCAGCACTGCATGATTCCCAACATTCCTCTCTTATCCCTTTGCAATTATATAATTATTGAAATTGCTCTTTTAGCCTTAACCGTAGGTTTTTTAAAAATGATGCATTGCTCTCGTGCATATGAACAAAATTAATGGTTAAAGTTCTAAAACATCACATTAGCATTGTGACTTTCCACTTGGAGTCACTCATGTCTGTACTTTCCACATAAGATTGGCTTCTCTACCTTCAAGAGTGTTGGTCTTCTAGCATTTCTTAAAAGATCCCATAAAAAAAAAAAGTCCGTGGCATTGGTTTCTTAAGCTGCCTTTTGCATTTATGTAGAGCTAGCCTACTTAAAAAAAAAACTTTAAACATGCAAAAAATAAAAAGCATAATTCATAAAATGAACATACACATATAAATAAGACCTAGGTCAAGAAACAGAAGTTTACCAGAAGCCACTTTTCTGCCCCAACTCAAATATTACCCCCTCTTAAAGGGAATCACCATCCTCACCAAAAATTGGTTTTGCCTGTTTTTGATGATGGAAACATACAGTAGGCACACTTTTGTGACATGAAACCCTTTTATAGTCAGAGCTGCCCTGTCCAATGATGAAAAGGACTGAAGACCATCAGCAAGTGCAAAGGTCCTCCCTACCAGAATATATAGTCTCACTGGTGTGTGTCACGTATCGGGTAAAGATGTGGATTGCCCAGTCCTGAGATGATTCAGTTTCGTGGTCAATTGGCTAAAGATGTATATCAAATTACCTTTATATAAATGACTTGTAGGAATTACAAAATACTTTCACTCATCATATAGGCAAAAGTTTTAAATATGGATAAAACTAATGCTGGGGAGGGTGTGGTGAAAAGGACACTTCCACTTGCTGTTGTTAAAGTACATGATATGGTTTTAAGGGCAATTAGCTAATACCTAGCAAAATTTTAAATGTTCCTACTTTTTGGCTAGCAAACCCACTTCTAGAAGTCTATTCTACAGAAATACTTGCAGTAACCTGGTACTGTGCCTCAGTATCCTCATGTCTGAAATGGGGATAATAGTACCTGCCTCGGTGGGTTGCGCCTGGCACTAGAGTACTTAAGTATTGTTAACCTTGCCTTTGTTTTAATACATTGGGACTGTTTACTCGGCGTTTTCCCCAAAGACCAATGAACCTCCAAATTTCCGGCGTCTACCAAATAACACCCCTCACGGCAATGAAACTGGATTAGTGTTTATCTAAGTGTGATCCCTGGGGGCTTGTTAAAATGCAGGTTTCTGGGCCCACCCTAAACCCACCGTAAGGAATTAGGGAAGAACCCCCACTCGGCGCTTTCCCAGAGCGCTGTCCGCTAAAGCCGCCGCCGCCGCCGCCGGACTCAGCCGGAGGACCGTGAAGACCGCCGGCCAGACGGTGGCGCGCTGCCGCAGCCCGCCGGCCTCCAATTCCCAGAAGGGCAGCTCTGTCCTCTGGGGGCGCCGCATTCTCCTCTCTTCCGCTTCCGGCGCCTCCCTGCAGCCATGGCCGCCCCCGCCGCCGGCCCTGGTGCGCCGCTGTCCCCGGACGAATTGCTTCCGAAAGGCGATGCCGAGAAGACGGAGGAGGAGCTGGAAGAGGAAGACGACGAGGAGGTACTGGGGCCGCGCAGTGCGGGGCGCAGAGCGAGCATACGGGCGGGGAGCGCCCGCGCGGGGGTGTGGGTTCCGCGTGCCTCGGGATCGGGGCTGAGGCGCGTCGCGGAGCCCGGAGAGGTCGGCGAGGAGACGTCTTCTCCCGGAGGCGGGGCTCGGGGCTCCGCCGGGCCCGGGGTGCCCTCGCTCCCGGGGTCTCGGCGTGTCCTGGCAGCAGGGGCTGGGTTGTCGCCGCTTCGGCCAAGACCCGCGCCTCCTCCACCACAGCTCGATGAGACCCTGTCGGAGAGACTATGGGGTCTGACGGAGATGTTCCCGGAGAAGGTCCGCTCCGCGGCTGGAGCCACGTTTGACCTCTCCCTCTTTGTGGCTCAGAAAATGTACAGGTAAGGAGCGAGGGGAAAGACATCGGGGTGTGCCTTGGACGACTTACGTGCTGTGAGTGAACACGGGCTTTAGAAGCTGCAGACTGGTTGGAGTCCAACCTGCCACAGAGCTCACAGTGACCTTGGACTAGTGTAATCTTTTTCTGGTCTCATTTTCTCTTCTGTAAAGAAGGGCAGGGTCTTTATGAGGATCATTTCAGATTAGATGTGTAAGTAGCTTTGTAAGAACTCAAAAGAATGTTAAGACTGCAGTCTCTAGATATACAGCCAGCAGAACTGCTGCTCCTCTGGTAGGAGTGTGTTGCAAGGGTTGGATAAACACTTGTCAAAAACATTGGAGTGTATGTGAGAGATCTGTTTTTATCTTGCTGCCATGTTCACACTCCCTCTACAGGTTTTCCAGGGCAGCCTTATGGATTGGGACTACTTCCTTCATGATTCTGGTTCTTCCTGTTGTCTTTGAGACTGAGAAGTTGCAAATGGAGCAACAGCAGCAACTGCAGCAACGGCAGGTAAGCCCAAACCCTGCGCTTTTTGCCAGTGGTGGAGAGCACATGGGTAGACCTGCAGTTAATGTATGGGTAGAGACTGGGATTTGTTTTACGCTTTTATGTACTTGACTGTGCTATCAGCTGTTTTTGTCTGCCCTAACGGGTATGTTGAAAATCAAATACCTAGACTTGTACAATGCCTTATACCTCCTTTTCTTTTCCAGATACTTCTAGGTCCCAACACAGGGCTGTCAGCAGGAATACCAGGGGGTCTACCTTCACTTCCTGGAAAGATATAGTTACTTCTATAATTGACCCATCTTGGTCGGAGAAGTTTGAAAATTTGATAGTGTTTGAACTGCTGATTATTTGAATTTTTTTTTCTTTTAACTTTGGCACGTTGATCTAAGATCAGTCTTGTCCCATGGAAACTCCCAACTTGCACATGTGTCCTCCATACTATCCTGATTTGTTTCTTCTTTCCTCAGTAATAACCAGAGTATAGTGATGCAGTTATTCTAGCTCTGGCCATCCCACCCGTTTCACTAAATTACCCCTGACAGCAGGATCTCACTATCCCACTGTGGGGTAGGAACTGATGCCATTGGGAAAGATGTACCCCTGACCATTAATGACTGTTTTGTTTTTAAGAACGGAGATGTTGGGGAGGGACATGCACACAATATGAAATACAAAATGCATCACAGCTGTAGCATAAAGCAGCCACTGTGAACTCTGTGTATGTTGAAAAGGTGGGTGGGCAGGCAGCAGCTTCAACCACAGGATGGAAACTGTGGAGGACAGAGCAGGAGCTCATTTCCTCTGCACATTTTGGCTATTAGATTTGTGTGTATGTCTAAAAAGTCACTGCTTTTTATATTTAAATATTAACAATGATTCCAACTGAAAGTGTCATCCATATGCTTCTTTTACACACTTTTAAACGAGATTGCCCCTCACATTTCCTCATTAAGCCAATACTATCGTTTACCACTGACCCTGTAGGCACAAGTTAAATTTCCAAAAGTTAAAAAACTCATTTTTAGTCAAGAATCTCTTAATAGTCATCGTTGCCCTGAATTTAGTCAATTGATTTCAGATTTGCCAACAAAGGACTGGGTCTATGTTATTTATCCTAACTCGTGACATTAATACAGTTAGAAAGGATTTGTAGGGAATGACTGATTTCTAGTTCTAGGAAGGCTAAGGTTGCAAACAAACCTTTAGTTTGTTCTTTTAAAAATAATTGTTGAGCTACCAATGATGAATCCAGCTGTAGCCCCATCTTTGGACTCTGCCATTTGTCCATTTAACACAATTTTATTAGTATTGTGCTAATAAGCCTTTTATGTGGGTTTTTTACTGGAACAATACTACACAGTTTAGGAGGGAGTACTATTTCCATTTTACAGAGGAAAGTCACAGAAAGCTCTGTAATCTGTACCAAGATGCATAGACTATGGCAGATCTGAATTCAAACCTAGCAGGCCCTCTTCTACACGATCTTCCACTTGTTGATCAGGGGAAAAACACTAGTCACTTGTTAGGGCTAGTAAAGAAAACTTGTGCTTAGATTAGGGGTAGGATTCTTCAAATTGTCAATCCTAGTTTCTGTAAATTAAATCGAAAAATACTTAAGGCTGCTTTTGAACCAAATCCCAATTAGCTATCATTGTTTGGATATTTGAGGTGAGAGGTTTGACCAAAGCAGAGTCTACATCTAAAGATGACTTACGATGGTAGTGAATTCCTTCTAAAGCAGCATTATACTAAACTTTTTTCCTCTTATGTACATAATTACAAAATTCAGACACATTTGAGATTTATGTATGGAGTTCTCCATTTTTAATATTTGGTTAAACAAAATACATCTTTTGTAAACAAACCCAGCACAAGGCCAACCGAAAAAAGGAATTAAAAGCAAGAAAAACAAAGCCTAGGGTTGCCCCCTATTGGGCATCAGGGTTAGGCCTGCCCCCTTCTAAAAGAA